GATGGTGGCGGGATGGGCGGCGGCGGCGAGGGCGGCGGCGGCGAGGGAGGCGGCGGGGAGGGCGGCGGCGGGGAGGGTGGGGGCGGAGAGGGTGGCGGTGGCGAAGGAGGCGGCGGCGAGGGTGGCGGCGGCGAGGGCGGCGGCGGCGAGGGTGGTGGTGGCGAGGGCGGCGGCGGCGAGGGTGGCGGCGGGGAGGGCGGCGGCGGCGAGGGTGGGGGCGGAGAGGGTGGCGGTGGCGAGGGCGGCGGCGGCGAGGGTGGCGGCGGCGAGGGCGGCGGCGGCGAGGGTGGTGGTGGCGAGGGCGGCGGCGGCGAGGGAGGCGGCGGCAAGGGTGGCGGGGGCGAAGGCGGGGGGGGGCTGGGTGGCGGAGGTGATGGGGGTGGCAAAGGCGGCTGAGAGGGAGGTGGAGGAGAGGGTGGCGGCCCGATGCATGCTGTGGCGAGCCCCGTTCCCGCAAAGAGAAACGCACGGCCGTAGCCAGGATCAGAGCCTGGGTTGGGACCGACCTTGTACGTGACGTTGAACTCGCCCGTGTTCTTGGGGTATGTGACGCAGACGAATTTGGGCATGGTGTAGCGATAGGGACGCCATACCAGCCTGTCCGCAACCCCGGAAGATGACGGGTAGACGCCAGCCCCGGGGATCGTTTCCTCTTTGGAGCTACAGGTGAGGATGTCCGGCACGACGCCTGGTGAGCGCTCAAAGCCCGACGTGACCGTCCCATCCGCGGCGTCACCACATGAGGTCGTGCCATCGTCGTCGATTTCGAGCTGATCACATGTAAAGTTGGGGCATGTGTCGTAGGACGCGCACAGTCCTGCGCAGTCGCCGTCGTCGCATGAGGGGAAATTCATCAGCACCTCTGAGAACAGGCGGGGGTTGTCACTGCCAACGCCCTCCTTTTTAGCCACTACTCTGACGCAATCGGTCCCGCCGTCGATCGCGCCTTCTGTGACGTCCATGTAGTCCGTGGTGTCAATTTCATCGCACAGAAACTTCGTCACCGGATTCTCCGAGTTGGGCTTCCTCCCGTGCATAAAGTAGCCGCCATAGGAGGTGCTTGTGTCGATGCCGCAAGTGGTGAACGTCTCCCCGAGGTTGGGGTCCGAGGGGTTTGACTGCGGGCCCGTGTCAAAGTCAAAGAAGCAGAAGTCGTATGCTGCGAGGGCACGGGCTAAGAGCGTTGGGCGGTGGGCAGGCGAGGGCTAAGAGAATGGCAGGGAGGGCAGGAGCGCACAGTAGGGAACTTCCACCGCCGGCGGATCACAATCTGCTCCGGTTGGGCACGCATAGTCGTTGGCGATCAGCCGGTACAGGAAGGTGGCATTCTGGTCGGCGGCCAGGCTGACCTGCGCAAACGTCTGATTGGTCCCACGGCCGGTTTGGTCACTAGCCCACGGCATGTAATAGGTTGTGTTCTTGACCATCAGGTCCAGGATCGTGGCAGCAGCTCCGGTGCCGTCGTAGAGTCGACCGACCTTGCGCAACCGCAGCATGGCTCCGCCCTGCTCGACAGCGGCAGGATCCGGATTGTTGCATTGGCAGCCACAGCCGCACGGGCAGCCGCCTTCCGGTGCTGGCGTGCCCCAGGGGAGTTTGCCGGTGCAGTTGGCAGCATCCGTGAAATCGGTTGAAACCTGCCCTGGAAATCCACCCAGGAGGTTGGTGTCCCCGGAGATATCATCCGTCGAGAAGTCGAGCACCAGCCCGATTGGGTTGAGGGCACCCGTGCAGCTCTCCACTTCGCCAATGCTGCCGACTTCCGACACGCCAATGCTGCCCTCGGTCAGAGATTTGACCGGCAGAGATCGATGAAGCAGCAACAGCAACAGCGCCTGCGCACAGAACGCCTGTGCCCGCCGCCGGTGTGGTGCAGGTGCCGTCATAAGCGACACGGAGCGACCACTCAGCGCATACACATATGGGGCGACGGTTCGAGTTGGGCTCGCTCGCCGACGTTTCGGATTTACTTCACGGGCCTTTGGCTGCTGAGTTTGTGTCGAGCCCTCGCTCGGACGGGGGCTGTAAAGTAGTGTAAGACCTCCTGGGTCCGTCTCAATTCTCGTACCCTCCCTCTCGCCCTATGCGAGCTTCTTGTTTCTGATCAACCTATCTATCTGTATCTGTCTGTATCTGTCTGTATCGATCAATCAACCTATATCTGAGAGAGAGTTTGTTATATCTGTGTACGTGGCTCGACGAACATAGTACCCTGAGGTGGACTGCCTGCTTGTGTCCTGACTGGTTCTCTGGTGAGTCCCACAGACTCCGCTGTGAACTGGAGCTCGCGGAGGAGCTTCCGCGTTGGCCGTTGCTCCGGTCTTGGTTGGTTTGCACTTGGGTTGGGAAGATATAAGAGCAGCTTTGTTATGAAGAAAAGAAAACACGTTGCAGGGGTTGCTCATGCTGGAGAAGAGCAAACGGCGCATGCCTGGCCCTGTCCTTGTCATTCACAATGCCTCGAAGCTGGCCTCAGTTGATAGAGGGCAACCTAACGGACCCAGCCTGACCTCGCTGGCTCACTCGCTCGAATTTCCTCCGCCTTGACCGACAACCGCATCTCAAGCCACCAGACTTGTGCTCCTTCAACCGGCAGCGGCACCCTGCCACCCTGCGTGCATGAGACCGCCCCATCCACAAGAGCAGTTTTCCGCCACGAACGAGTTTCGGACTCTTTTCTTTCAGACTGGTGCTGTGTGTGCGGTCTGTGCGCAGTCGGTGTGGTGTGGTCATGGCGTGCGCGTGGCGTCTGTGGCGAGGGCGTACTCGTCCGCCCACACAGTGAGAGGGGGGGGGGGACGGGTGGTGCACGGGTCTCGGGTGTGTGCCGCGTGCGTGTGTGTGCGGGTGTGTCCACTGTGTCCGTCGTCCGTGTGTCAGAATGTGGGGTGGATCGACGACGGAGGATGGAACACATGTATAACTCTTTTGCAGTGATGTCCGGTTTTTGTGTGCGTAGGAGCGTAGCGCATAGCGCACTCGGCACGCCGACGTGCGTGTGTCAGCCGCATGAACCCAAAGAAAGAGAGACGAATACTGAGAGTCGCCATGGCGGCGCTAGAGCCAGACGGCGAAGCTGTAGGACAGCGTGACGGCAGCGCCGACCGCGTCGACGACGTCGATGAGCGGAGCGGACGCGTCGGGCGGCGTCATCCCGTGGTGGCCCGCGAAGGAGAGCTTCACGAGCGGGATGAGGATGCAGTTGGCGGCGTAGAGCATCGAGGCCATGTTCCAGTAGTTGTTGGCCTCGATCGTCCGCGTCACGATGTTACCCCTCTCCGAGTGCTTGAAGTAGTGCCCACGCAGCGCCATGTACGCAAACGCGACTCCGTTGTGTAGCGTGCTCACCGCGAGGTTGGCGCGCCCGAACGGGCCGGCGCTGGCGGTGACGTACACGAGCCACTGCATCGTAACGTGATCCGTGTAGTGGTCGAGCAGGTCGCCGAACTGGCTACACCTGTGCAGCACAGTGCGCGGCAGGGCGGGCCTGTCGATGAGGGGCACTCGTGACAGTGACGCATGACTCCACTTTGGCGACGGCTGTGCGTGTATGGGCTGTGCGTGTATGTTGAGGGCGCACATGTTGAGGTAGCGCGCGCACGGGCCGTCGAGGTAGTCGAGGAAGAGGCTGACGAAGCAAAACCAGACGGCGTCGGATCCTGCCGGATCGGCCGCATGCATCGCCGCGCACAGCGTCGCCACGCGCACGTAGCCAATTAGGTTGGGCGGCCACAGCACCATCGGGAGGCGGCGAGCATCACTCTTCGACTGAGAGCGGGTCGTCGGCATGCGGCTGTATCGTCGTCGTGGTGTGCCTGTGTGTGTGAGTGCCAGTGCGCGCCAGTCTCGTGCCCAGGATTGAGCGCGCGGCTTTTTCTTCTTTTTCGGGTGCCTTTTTGAGCTCACACATAATCACAGCGGGAAGTTCCCTGTGTTCGAGACGTGAGGGGTGTAGGGTAGGGTAGCATCGCTGGATATCTTTACCAACCCCCTACCCCCCTACCCCCTCCTTCCTTTTGCGGTTTGGGCGTTTAACGACGTCTCTAGTGGGCAGCCACACCGCCCTCACCGCCGCGAGTTCTTTCCTGGGATCGCTTGTCATGTGAGAGAGTGCGTTAGGTAGGTGATCTGTGATCTGTGAGGGTCCGCCCGCAGGCGCATTTTGTATACCGAGGCGGTGCCCAGTGCCGAACCTGTCGGACCTTAAGACAGCGTTGTAAATCCCTGGGCGAGGGTGGTGGAGAGGTAGGTAGGAAGGTGAAGAACAGCCAGGCTCGGACTGGACACCAACGCGGTATGGCGTATGGGTGGACGCGGGACAGATGATGACGGCACGCACGAGCGACACACAGACACAAACAGGCTCACAAGACACACAGCCAGCGGGCTGCCACACACCCTGAGTAGGCGTACACATAACTCAGGGCCACATCCTCCCTGTCGCCCCCCCCCGCACTCCAAGGTGCCAAAGGAACAAAAAAGGGCACAACAAACAACAGACGACAGGGAGTGGAGTGCGTCGTGTTACGAGAGACGTTACGGGAGCTTCGGAGGTTGGAGCGGAGCGAGCGTGACCTAACCTGCGCGAGGAGAGCTCGATAAACTCGAGGGGCCAAAATATCGGCCGCGAGGAAGGCACAGCTGCGACGAAACGCGAGAGAAGCCGCGAGAGCAAGGGGGTCCAAGGGATCACCACCGAGCCCGCGGCGGCGTCGCAGGCGCGCGCTCACCGCGTTAGTCGCACTTGGAGCACTTGGAGGGCAGTCATCAGCCTCACATCCAGGGCCGGGGAGCTAAGAAGCGCACCCAGCGGGCCGGATGATCGGGATCGGGTTGCGGGCAAGAGAGCCCTAGCCCTGGGGGGTGCGCGTTCGCAGGGCCATAACACGGGTCTCCGAGGGTTGGCCCCGCGTACCGGGTTTCCCCTTAACTGCAGGAACGCGCCCTCTACTCGGAGCTAGTGGACACGACACTAGCTACTGATACGAGAATACGTACCGCCCCCACGCAACTACTCGAAGATAATACGAGAATACGCAGCTGCGAGGCACCTATAAAGAAAAACAGCATGCTAAATTTCGGCGGCTAAAAAGCAAAGGACGGGCGCTTTTGATCGGCAAAGCAAAGTTGGAGTAACGGCGCCGCGTTCGCAATGAAGTCGCCTGTCGAGCAGCTTCCGCGGCGCGCATGCGCCGCGGGGTGGACCGACAGCCCTTGGAGCACTTGGAGTGCAAAAAGAAAAGAAAAGAAAACATACAACCCAAGGGAGGGATGGGAGAACGGCACGCCGCCACCACACAGGGATTTTTTAAGGAGAGGAGTGTGTTGGAGTGCAGTCGGTAACCTCACGCCTGGCTGCTTTCTCTTTCCAGGTGTTAGTGCCAGTGCGCGCCAGTCCCGTGCCCAGTGTTGTGCCAGGGAGTTTCCTTGTAAGATTCTCTTTCCAAAATGGAGTCCGCGGCGTCATCGTTCCAGCGGACGCTCGTCGCGCGCGCCTCCGCCGCACGCGACGCGCAGCTGACGCGGGCGGCAAAGCGCAAGCGCGTGCTCGACGAGGACGAGTTCGTCGCGGCACTCGACCGGATCATTGAGCGCGACTACTTTCCGGGCCTGCCTCTGCTGCGGGCGCAGCACGAGCTGCTGCTCGCCATCGAGGCGGACGACCCTGAGCGCGCGCGCCGCGCCTACGCCATGGTCGGTGCAGCCACGCCTGCAGCGCACAGCTCGCGCCGCGAGGAGCGGCCGCCGACCCGCGGGCAGCGGTCCGAGTGGGATGAGACGCCGCGGCGCGCCGGCGACGGCAAGGCGAGGCAGAAGCGGCCCGCCGGCGCTGCGGGCCCGCCGGGCGACGCCTCCCGCACCTCGAGCAGCAGCGCCGTTGCTGCCGGCGGTGGCTGTGGCGGCGGTCTCGACGCCTTTCTGGCGAGCCACACGTCGGAGGACAACGCCTCGTTTGGGCTCCTGCTGGAGCGGGACCAGGCGGAGCGGCGGAGGCGCTACTGGTGGGCGCAGGACGCGCCCGAGGGACTCGCGCAGCAAGTGCGCGCGCAGCTGACCGACGGCGCGCCGCCGCCGCCAAAGTTGCTCGAGGACTTTCCCGAGCTGCGCGGGCTCGAGGTGGCGGCGGCGCTCAAGGGCCCGTCGCAGAGCAAGCACGCGCGCAAGCTGGCGGCCTCGACCGCCGCCGACGCGCCGCCCACCTCGTCCACCCTCGTCCGCCTCCTCGCACACCCGGAGGAGGAGAGCGCGAAGGCGGAGGTAGCCGGCGCTGCGCGAGGGGCGGACAGGCAGGCGGGCAGAGGGGAGGCGGGCAGAGGGGCGGCGGGCAGAGGGGAGGTGGGCAGTGCTGGCCCGCCCGGCGCGGCGATTATGGCGGCGGGTTGGGTCGGGCGGGGAGACGAGCGGCGCATGACTGCGGTGGCCGCCTCCGGCGGCGGTGCGTTGGCGGTGGCCGATGGGCTCGCCGTCGCCGCCGCCGCCGCCACACAGCCTCCCGAGGCAGCTTTGGTGGCGTTTGCGGGCGGCGGGGCGGCGGCGGCTGTGGGCGGCCTCCCTTCGACGGGCGACCGGCGCGACTTTGTCTCGTCGACGTCCGCCGGGGCTCTGGACGCGTCTGCGCTGGCGGTGGTTCGGGCTGTGGTGCCCGAGCAGCCTCTGGCCCCGCCGCCGGCCGGCCCGCGCGCCCTCGCCGCGCCCGTCGAGCTCGAGCGCCCGTGGCACAAGCAGGGGGCCATCGACCGCGACGACCGTCCGGCGCGCCTCGAGACGGCACGCTTCTCGCACAAGACGGCTCTCTACCACGTGCCCGACGCGCACCCGACGCAGTTTGAGTACGCGGCGCACCTGCCCCCGCGGGAGACGGTCGCCCGCAACACGCGCTTCGCAGACGCCGCCGACGTGCTCGCGGCGGCGGCGAACGGCGGCGGCGGCGGCAGCACTGGCGGCGGCGGCGGCAGCGGCGGCGGCGGTCGTACCGAGGCGTATCCGCTCGTCTCCACTCCCGCGCCGAGCCTTGGGCCGGACGAGTCGCCGATGGTCACTTGGGGCGCGGTGCTGGGCACGCCTCTCCGCCTCGCCGAGGGAGGCGGCCACAACCCGTTCAAGGTGCCCGCATTGCCGCCCAAGGACGCGAAGGCACACGCGCTCGCGGGCAGTGCTCGGCGGCGTGCGCGGACCCCGGGCGCGAGCGCCCTCCCGGGGGGCGGCAGCAGCCGGGCCGCGCTGGCCGTCTCGTCCCCTCGATCCTGCGGCGGGCAGGCGGAGCTCTCTGCGGCGGGCCACCGGCTAGCCCGTTCGCTCTCGAAGCAAGCCGTGCCCGACCCGAGCGGGCTGGGAGGCTCGGAGCTGCGCGCCTCGTACTCGTCCTTCACGCCGCGCCGCGAGACGCCAGGCAGGACGCCAGGCAGGACGCCCGGGCGCTCCTCCCGCCGCACTCCCGGCGGCGCCTCGGCTGCTCCCACCCCTCGCTCGTCGCGCCGGCCGTCCTCGGCCGCGGTGGTGCGCAGCAGCGTTCCGGGGACGCCAGCCGGAACAGCCGACGCTGCCGGCCCAGCGGCGACGGCAGGCTCGCGGTCGAGCATCACGGATGGGCTTTTGGAATGAACGGCGACGACTGCTGCGCGGCCGAGACGAGAGCTGTCGTTCTCGCGTCGCGTTCGACTGCCACACTGAAGCACTGTGAGATAGTCCGACGTGCACACGTGTGTCCACGCTCCGTTGTTTCTAATGGTTGGGGGTAGTAGGGGTAGCTAGAGGGGTAGAGGGCTAGAGGGTTGCCCACAAAACTTAGACCTGCTCTCGCAGCCGAGCGCTGAACTAAGCCCCCGGAAGGAAACGGGCTCTCAAACTTAGACGCTGGTGATCGGACTCACGAACTTAGACGACACGAGGTGGCCAGTTCCGGGGGGGTCTCTGCAGGAAGCCCCCCCCCCCCCGCCCAGCCACAGCCCCCAGAGCCAGGCTGCCCGGTCCGGCCTGCGGTCTGCTAAATAAAAGTGTAAACCCTTGCACGACCCCATGGGTCAACAAGCTACAAGTGCCGTCGCCACTTGCCGCGCACGCCCTCCTCTCAGCCTCCGTGCGCCAAGGACCGGCGCACGCGCCCCCCCTTTTGGGAGGGTCCCCGGGTAATGTTATAAAGGTGTATCTTTGAAACGTCTAGTCAAGTGTATCTTCGGCTATCACTCGAACTTTGGACAGCGATTTGGCCCAAAGAGGGGGCGTGCCGGTCCTTGCCGTGCGCAAGTTGCGACGCACGCCCGCCGCAGAGGCGAACAGGCGAAGAAAATTTTGAGGCAACCCTAATGATCACGGCCGACTTAGCCCGCATAAGAGGCTCCCGCCGATCTTAGACCGCGTACGCACCCGAGCGTGACCGGTCACACTTAGACCCGTTAAGCCTCGAGGCTCAGAACTTAGCCTACTACCCAACCAGTTTTTTTGTTTTTCTTCAACACGCGTAGAGTCGGCATGGGCGTGTACACTCGAGAGTTTCTTTTGACTAAACAGTACGCGGCTAACGCTCTGACATCTGTCCTCTGACTGAGAGTCCGACAGACCGTGTCACCAGTCACGGGAACTGACATGCGACAACCGCGTGTGTGAGAGCTACCGAGTACCGTACGCCTACGGGGTAGGCATCGTCAATAAGGCTTGATTGATCCCAGCTCGAGCACCGCCAGCACCGCCAAGAGACCAATGCCGCCGTGCGCAGGTCTCAGATTGACCCCGCTCTGGTGCAAACCCTCCAGACTCTCCGCGATGCTGCGGCCACAGAGGTGCCCCGCAACCAGGAGCACGCAGGTCGCCGCAAGCACGCAAACGGCCACGAGGAGGTATCCGGCCAACCCGAAGGAGAGGCCGGCCAGTGTGCGGAGGGCCAGCGGTAGCGCCAAGTGCGCCGCTTGCGGCAAGCTGGCAAACTTTTTGACGAGCGGCATGCGCCGTTCTCCCGCTTGCTCGGAGAATGCAGAGAGCGCCATCAGACCAAAGCATAGTCCGGCTCCCACATGCAGCGGAATGGCAGCCAACCAACTTGGCTTCGCGATGGACGCTACCGCCGCCGCCACTCCATTGCATGCACCCGCGGATCCAACGGCTCGGCCTTCGATTGCAGTCCCGCTGAGGGCGAGGGCCATTCCCAGCACGAGCGATGCCGCACACCGGGGCAGAGCGGCGAGGAGCGTGACGATCCATAATGTTGGAGAGTCCAAGCCAAAGAGAAGGTTGCTGCTCGCCCCCTTGGCGGCTCCGGCGACGGACTCTGCGCTCCCTGCGGGCATCCAAAAGTAGCCCACGACGATGAGGCCGACAGTGACGGCAGCTATCACGCCTGCCTTCGCGAGCTCTTTCTTGCTCACCTTTTTGGTCCCGCCTGAAACGAGGGGCACCTCGAGCGTGGGTTTGCTGTGGAAAGGGTTGGAGAACTTGGGCATCGATGTTGTGCTCAGGCTCGCTGCTCCGCGCGCCCGACGACCGCAAGGCAAACTCGCGCGTCCGTTCGTTCGGCTGTATTGCCTTGCGGTTTTTTCCAAGCGTGATTTTGTGAAAATGTGTGCCAAATTAATGTGGAGAGAGACTTTCTCTCCGTCTCTCTCACACAACAATGTCTGCAGAATGTATGTAGGATATCCTCCATCCAGTAAGCTAAAAGTACGTACATTTGTGTGTCTCTGTCTGCTCGAGCCTCTGCTTGGTCCCGTGGTGCGTGGTCGGTCGGCCCATCTTCTTGGAGAGAGAGAGATTTTTAGCAATACCAAACAACTCTAGTTGTCTTCTTGGTCCCGTGGACGACCCATCTTCTCTCCCCGGCTTTATGCGGGAGAGACTTCCGCGTCGTTTACGCGGCGGTAGGTAGGTGATCTGTGATCTGTGAGGGCCCGCCCGCACGAGCGAGGCGGTCGAGTGAGCTCCATCTCTTTTCTATTTGAAAGGGTTCCGTGTTGTAATTTGTTTTTTCTCTGCCGGTGTCAAAAAAAAACGACAATGGCAGCGGCGGCTGCGGCGGCGGCCGCCTCTGCCTCGGCCGCCTCGGCGGCGGACGATGCGGCGGCCGATAAGTCGGCAAACACGGCCCGGCTGCGCTTCCTCCTGCAGAGTGCTCACGCGCACGCGTCGACGGCGCCGGAGCTCTCTCGGCATCTCGTGCTCGAGCTGCTGCGGCTCGCGCGAGGTGCAAACATGAAGCTACCGCAGCGGCTCCACCAGCGGCTCTGCGGCGACTGCGGCTCAATCCTCGTGCCTGGCGTCAACGCGCATGCCGCTGTGCGCTCACGGCCGCGCAAGCCGGCGGCGCGGCGGCGCCGCCTGCACGTGCAGTGTCTGTGGTGCGATCAAACGCAGGAGCATGCGCTGCCCGCTAGGAACAGCGCGCGCTCGGCGTCTCAGGCGTCAGGTGCGTCCGCGCGTGCCCCCACCGCCCGCTCACGGCGCGGCCAGGCGAGAGGCGCGGCCCCGGCGCCACCGCTGGCGGGCAGCACGGCGGAAGGGTCGGCGAGCGGCCTCTTCGGCTTTGACTTTGTGCCAGTGCAATGATGACTGTCGACTCATAGCTGTGAGCTGGGAGCTGTGCAGAGCTGTGAGTCGGGGGCGAGTGGTGGATAGAGGCTGGAGCTGTCGCGCGTCGGTGACGGTGTGTGTGCGGTGTACCCCGGTGCGACGTGCGTACCTAAACTAAGGGGGTGCAGAGCACGAGCAGCAGCAGCAGCAGCAGCAGCAGCAGGGGCAGGGAGGAGGAGGATCTTGAAGGACGGCGCTCAGGAATTCTCTTCCCGGTAAAAAGAAAGAAAGAAAACAGCCAACCCAAGGGAGGGATGGGAGGACGGCACGCCGCCACCACACAGGGATTTTAAGGAGAGGTGTGTGGTGCGCTAGCCGTCGCCCACCCTAGGGAGTCTGCCTCTTCGTATCTCTTTTCGCAGTCTCTCGCCGCTTCTCGCTGCAACCTTCATGCCACCTCGCGGCCGGCCCACTCTCGTCGTTCTCTCCCTTGTCACTTCCTCCGCTGTCGCGTCGTTCTCTTCTGCCTCGTCCTGCGACGCCGCCGCCTGCCGGAGCCGTTGTGAAATTCTCTTCCGACGGCGACCCGCACCTCCGACCTTGGCCGCCGCCGCGAATGCCCAGCACTCCACTGCTGCAGGTCCTCCTCGGACCTGCGCTCTTGCACGCGGGCATCGCGCCCGAGACACTTTCCTTCGTTTTTGGCAGCGAGGGATCCCTCCTCTCGGATCTGTGCGGGCGGCTCGTCTGCTGGTGCGCCTTTTATGCGCTGATCCACATCTTCTACCACATCTTTGCTCCGGGCGTTCGGGCCTTCTGCGAGAGGTGGTACCCCGACGCACCGACGAGTGCCGTGCCGCAGAAGCTGGTCGACAATATGATCGAGGCGCGCGCTCTCAAGCCGCGAAGCCCACCGCCCGCACCCGCCGCCCGGCGCCGGCGTCATAGAGAGCCGAGCCGTAGCTCGCCGCCGGCAGGTGTCGCACGCGGCCTTCCCGCTGTACGTGACGGTGCCGCTGCTGACCGACTTCTTCCAGGTGAAGGGCTGGTCGCAGGCGTGCGGTGGCATCGACGACTGCGGCGGGCCGGCGCGTGCGCTGCTCGGCTGCGCCGCCTACTTTCTGCTGCTCGAGTTCATCATCTTCGTGGACCACTACTACCTGCTGCACAAGTGGAGCGTGGGGAAGCGGCTCGGCCAGCACGCCTTCCACCACGTGTACAAGTGCGCCGCTCGCACCGCCGCCGCGCGTAACCAAAGGGCCGGCCTGCGACGCCCGCGCACGCGCCCACCGCGCGCCACACCGTGCAGGTACGCCGACCAGCTGAACGCGTACTCTGGGTACTCGTTCGCGCCGCAGGACGGTGCGCCGCGGCCGGAGGGCGGCGCGCGCCTGGCCGGGGCAGCTGCGTCTGCTGACGCGCCGCCCCGCCCGCTGCTGCAGGCTGGTCGCAGGGGATGGCTCTGCCGCTCGCGACGCTGCTGGTGCCTGTGCCGATCGGGTTCGTGTACCTGATGGAGGTGCTCACGGGGCTGTGGACGCTCTACATCCACACCGACCTCTTCCCGCTGCCCTGGCCCTTCATGGGATGCGACTACCACTACATCCACCACCGATACAACTGGCGCGCGCACCACGCCCGCACCCCCCCTCCTCGCCGCCGCCGCCCGCGGCACACGCCCCCCGCCCCCTCCCTCTCCGCCCCTCCCCCCCAGGTACAACTTTGGCTTCATGACTCTCCTCTTCGACTCCCTCTTCCGCACCGTCAAGCACCCGCGGCACGACGCTCTCGCCCTCTCGCGCGGCGAGCTGCCGATGCCAAAGCTCGACCTGCTCCGCTCCGCAGAGCTCTCCTCGGCCATCCTCGCAAAGAGGGGACGTGAGGCGCTGCAGAGCGACGACGCGAGCGAGAGCGCCGCGGCGCGCAAGGCCGAGTAGCGGCCGGGCGCGAGTGCGCCCGCGACTGTGCCTCAGGCCTTCTGATCTGCATCTGGTATGACCAGCCTCAGCTGTTTCACCCCCCGCGCGCGCAGCATGTACACCGCTGCGCGTTTGTTGGGTAGAGTTACGCGTCAACAGTGCCATGCCCGAGTGCAAAGAAAAGAAAGAAAACAGACACCCCAAGCGCCAAGGGAGGGATGGGAGGACGCGGCACGCCGCCACCACGAGTGCATGCCCGCCCACACTTCAGCAACGCTTTCTTTCTCCATGTTTTCTCGCTGCAGCCTGCCAGCAGCGGGCGTGCGGTTAAAGCATAAAGGCGGAAAGAATTTAAGAGAAAACAACTCATGTAGTGCCCACAATCGCTGTCGTGGGATCGCTTGTCATGTGAGAGACTGCGTTGTGTTTCTGTGGTATGGTTTTCCTTCCGAAGAAAAAAACTTCTCGTCCAGCGCTGGACGAGAGTGGACGAGAGAGAGCAACCAGCATGGTCAACATGAAGGCCTCGGGCCACCAGGGCCAGCGCAAGCGGCGTCAGGCAGGCGCGGAGGACGCGGTGACGAAGCTCGAAAAGCTCAAGCTCCGGCCCGACAGCCTCGCCTGCGTCAATCCCGACGGCGTGCCTCTGCGGGTGGTGGCGCGTGAGAAGGTTCTCGGCGGCGAGAGCAACGCGCACCTCAAGGCGGCACTCGTCGCACCGGCGACGCTCGCAGCCCTCGGCGCGGCGCCAGGCTCTCGCGCGATGCTCTGCCGGCCGGGCGGCGACTTCATACTCAGCGCTCGCGCCGTGGCGGACGTGCCGGTGTCGGAGGGTGAGGTGCTGCTGGGCGAGGCGCAGCGGCTGTCGCTGCACGTCTGCGAGGACGAGTTCTATGAGTGGGTGCCTTACCGGCCACCGGCCGACGAGCCGCCGCTCGCCGCGCTGAGCGTCGAGGCGCAGCTGCTGCACGCACGGCCAGAGGGCGAGCGGCTTGTGCAGGATGCGGCGGTGCTGGGCCGGCAGGTGGGCAAGTGGCTCTTTGGCGAGATGGTGAGCGACAACGAAGTCTTCATCGTCTCTGTGTCTGGCGCCCAGCTCGTGCTGCGAGCGACCGGCTGCCTGCCGCAGCAGGCTGAGGACGAGGACGAGGACGACGAGATGGGCGGCGGCGAGGACGAGGGCGAGGGCGAGGGCGAGGGCGACTCGCGCGTTGTCCACTCCAGCCACTGCTTCCGCGGCCTGGTGGGCAGCCGGACGCGCGTGTACGTCGGCCGCTCGACCGTCTTTGCATCGAGCGCCTCGCAGCGGGCGGTGTGCGAGGGGCTCGCGCTAGTCAACGTGGAGGCAGCGCCGGCGGAGCCGCCCCGGAACGCGGTCCTGGTGGAGACGAGCGACGGGGAGGTCTTCCCTGTGCACCGCCGGCTGCTCAAGCCCTGCATCACCCTCACGAGGGCGGTGCGCGACGAGAGCGGCTCGGGCGAGGCGGTCGTCGACGTCGACTGCTCGACGTTTGACCGCGTGCTCCTCTTCCTCGAGGCGGCGAACCGCGGCCGGCCGTACGAGTTCGACATGCAGACGCTACCGCAGCTCGCGGCGGCGGCGGCGGCGCTGGGCTGCAGAGCACTGCGCGAGGCGTGCGCGCGCAAGCTCGGCGCCTTCGAGGAGCGTGTGCAGGAGCCACATCTTGGCCCTGCACTTCGGTTGCACCTCGGGACGTACCTCGGACGCATCTCGGCTGCGCCTTGGCTGCGCCTCGGCTGCACCTCGGCTGCACTTCGGCTGCACCTCTGCAGGTGCACCGCTGGGTAGATGTCGTCCGGCACAACGACGAGCGAGGCGGCTGCTGGGTGACGATGGACGGGATGGTCTTCGACCTCGAGGCGTGGCTGCCGGAGCACCCGGGTGGCGCCACCATCATCCCGCAGCAGGCGCTCAACGCCGACTCGACCGTCTTCTTCGAGCTGTACCACGCCTCGAGAGAGAGCTTCACCTACCTCAAGGAGTTCTACATCGGCGAGCTGGCGCCCGAGGACCTCGCCGCCGTGCCGCGCGCGTCGGAGGACACGGCGAGCAGCGACTTCATGCAGCAGCTCCGCGAGTTTGCCACGCCCTTCCGGCTGCGCCACCCACGCCCGGAGGATGCAGTGCACAAGTCGTTTTGAGGACCTCAGAGGAGCGGCATTGGTTGGAGGAGAGGTTGCGCGTTCCCCGGGATTCGCGTCGCCGGCCTCTCTCCGGATCCCTCCTGTGCGGTACGATCTGTTTACGTGGAGAGTTGAGACGCGGCGGATGAAATCAGGACTTTAAGTTTATATACCCTCTCGGCGCGGCGTCGGCCGTCCTCCCCTCCCTTGGTCCCTCCCCTGGCGGTCCTACCTGCGTGTGCTCCTGCGTCCTGCGTCCTGGCGGTTTTCCTCTCCGCACAAGGACAAGCCGTCCCGAACAGTCCTTCCCCGTTCCCTTCTTGGCCTTGGCCCTTGCACTTTGCGAGTGTTAGAGTTGTTTGGTACAGTTCGTGTGGCTAAACATCTCTACCGTGTTTGTTATGACCCCGCTAGAGCTGTTTAACATTAACTTTGGGCCTTGCGCTAGTGTTGGCTGAAACGCCTTAACGTTGTTCAAGTGTTCACCCCAGCCCATGCTGTTACTGTTTGTTACTGTTGTTACTGTTGTTCAGCGGTCAGCAAGCAGAAAATGCCAAAAAACCCGGGTAAAACCCGAAAAACCTGGGGTTTTCCGGGTATTTTCGGGTATTACCCGCACTGGACGCTGGAGATCGTCGTGGGTCACTGCCAGGCCTTCGCTTCCTTATTGTTGTTCAGCCGGCCTAACGTTAGCTACTGTTGTTGGGGAGCCCCACTGTTGTTCTGTTGTTACTGTTAACACTAGCAACACTGTTCAGCTCTCCCAACGTTAAACAGCTCTACGGCCGTGGCCGTGCCCCCGTCCGCTCTCTAGAGGTGGGTTTGTGCTCTTTGTTCGGTGCAGCGGGGGGGCGGCCCGCGGCGCGGGGGGGAGGTGGTGGTGGTGGTGGGGGGGGGGGGGCGTTTGTTGGTCGTCGCTCGTCTTGGCCTAAAAGGGTTTAAAACGGTTTTTCTGTTCCTCTCTCTCTCCGACTCTCCATCTCCAGGGTTCGTGATTTCACATGGAAACAGCGAATCGGTTTCACTTTCACTTTCACTTCACATTTCATGTGAAACAAAATTTCACTTTTTCGAGCGAGTGTGAAGAGTCGTGTGAACGTGAATGATGACGGATGCTCCCACCGAGTTCCGACCACTCTGACACTCACTTGCACAGGTGTTGGCTCCCAAGCAGCAGCCAAGATGAAGGAGGCTGGAGATATTGGTCTCGCTGAGCTGATGTGTACACTAGACCTATATGAATCTCATGGCATGCTGTGGGCGAATACGGTGCTGATGGTGGGATGAACTCTCTCAGTGCAGTCGAGAGTCGACTCCGACGCATCGGGAGGGCGGCGGCGGCGGTGTAGGGGCGGCGGCGAGCTCCCGGTTGCAAATACTCGCCTCACAGTCCAAGATGGCGGCTCGCGCCCCCATCCGTGCACCAGCGTGCCACTCTAGTCCCGCCTGCCGCCCAGATACCGAGGGCGGGGCGCACTCTTCGACTTGGGCTATTATTTGCCACCGGGAGGGCGGCGGCGGCGGTGTAGGGGCGGCGGCGAGCTCCCGGTTGAAAATACTCGCCTTACAGTCCAAGATGGCGGCTCGCGCCCCCATCCGTGCACCGGCGTGCCACTCTAGTCCCGCCTGCCGCCCAGATACCGAGGGCGGGGCGCACTCTTCGACTTGGGCTATTATTTGCCACCGGGAGGGCGGCGGCGGCGGTGTAGGGGCGGCGGCGAGCTCCCGGTTGCAAATACTCGCCTCACAGTCCAAGATGGCGGCTCGCGCCCCCATCCGTGCACCGGCGTGCCACTCTAGTCCCGCCTGCCGCCCAGATACCGAGGGCGGGGCGCACTCTTCGACTTGGGCTATTATTTGCCACCGGGAGGGCGGCGGCGGCGGTGTAGGGGCGGCGGCGAGCTCCCGGTTGCAAATACTCGCCTCACAGTCCAAGATGGCGGCTCGCGCCCCCATCCGTGCACCAGCGTGCCACTCTAGTCCCGCCTGCCGCCCAGATACCGAGGGCGGGGCGCACTCTTCGACTTGGGCTATTATTTGCCACCGGGAGGGCGGCGGCGGCGGTGTAGGGGCGGCGGCGAGCTCCCGGTTGCAAATACTCGCCTCACAGTCCAAGATGGCGGCTCGCGCCCCCAAGCATCCATGCTCTGATGTGTCGCTTGGGTCGCCTCTGCTGCTGTGTCTCTGTCTTAGCCAGATATCGAGAGCGCGCGACGACAACCAACCCCTTACCCTAATCCTAACCCTAACCCTAACCCTAACCCTAACCCTAGCCCGAAGAACCCAAAGCATTCACCGAGAGCTCGTGTCGACGGACCGCTGATTCCTCCATTTGGTTTCGGCCCAAACCGGACCATTCTCTTAGGAGCTGCACAACGGCTTGAACGCTCTCTGACCCTAACCCTAACCCTAACCCTAATTCTAACCCTAACCCTAATCCTAACGACACGGTGCTTCTTAAGAGGTCGTGCGCGTCGCTGCCGACGCATCTCGCGTGTATGGTGTATTTGCTGTGTATTTCGGCGGGGGCGCGCATTAAAAGAACATTGAGGCAACACACACGTCCTCGAGCGCCCGAGGACACGAACCAAGCTGCACCTCCTCTCGCTAGAGTTATTGTGGGCTCTTTCCTTTCTACACTTCCTTGCTTTCACCGCGTTTTGATGCAGTGAGGGCGGGCCCCTGCTCTTTGAGCCTTGGGGACGACCACGGCCTTGACCACGGCCTCGCTGCAGGGAAGCAGGAACGCGCGGCATTGGTGGCACAGAGATCCCTACCGGTGCCGGCAGTGGTAGGCGCACCGCCGCTCTCTCCGCTGTGCCGCCTCCGCCGCTGCCGCCTCGAAACCGGTTTCGACTGCTGCCGCCTCCGCCGCTGCCGCCTCGGAGATGCCAGAGCCTTCGAAAGTAGTCGAACTTGTGAAATTTTCAGTGAAACGGGGGCGGCCGAAACGTTTCATGTGAAATTCACATGAATTCACATGTGAAAGTGAAAGTGTGAAAATTCACTCACGAACCCTGTCCATCTCTCCTCGTTTCTTCGTCGTTTTACCCCGGCGCCAGTCGCGTTACGCGTCTCTCTCCAAGTCTTGCACCCATCACGCGCACACGGCTCCTCTCGCTCACATCGCACATATGAACTCGGCGAAGGCGAGGGGCCCTCGAGGACAGACTGTCGCAGAAGAGCTGGGAAGGGGCTCTGGTAGGCGCTGGGGCTGGGGACGACAACACACGACATGCTTCGACGTAGACAGTGATCGCCGGGCGGCGCTCACCGGTCCCTGACCGGTGGGCCGCGCTCTCTCTGCGGCGGGAGGGAGGGGGCCGGATTACGCGGCGGCGTCCTTCTTCTTCTTCTTCTTCTTCTCGCCGTCCTCCTCGCCGTCGCCGTCGCGCTTCTTCTTCTTCTTCTCGCCCTTGTCCTTCTTCTCCTTCTTGACCTTGGCCTCCTCCCCCCCGTCCGCCCCGCCGGCCGCCGCCGCCGCCGCCGGCTCGCGCGGCGGCACATACCCCGGACGCCACTCGGGCGGCGTGAGCTCGTTTGGCTTGCCGTGCTTGTCGAGCTTGCCCTCGGCGATGAGCGCTTTCTTCTGCAGCGCCTTCGGGCCGAGGCCCCAGCGGCGCGGGTACGTGTCGCGGTCCATGATGACGCGCTTGATCTTGGCAACCACCCCGTGGTCGCAGTGCGCCATGTCCGAGGTGGTCATCTGCGCGATGCCGACGGCGACCGCCTCGCCCTTGGTGGTCATCAGGACCACCTCCTCGTTCACCTCGATGTCGTTGGCGAAGCGGAGCAGCCCCGGCAGCATCAGCTTGGCGCCTTGGGGGGGCGGGCGCGTCTCTCAGGAGGGGCAGGGGCAAGGGCAGGGGCAGGGGGGTGGGGCAGGGGGGTGGGGTGGGTGGCAAGGGGGTTGAGGTGGGCGGCGCGGGGCACCGTAGCAGACGGCGTTGACGGAGGAGTCCTTGAGGACGAGCCGCTTGTGGCGCGTGAGGAGCAGCTCGAGCGGCTTGATGACGTGCCTGCGGCCGCGGGCGGCGCGGCGTGTGAGGGGCGGGGCCCGCTGTGGCCGGCGGTGTGGCGTGGGGGAGGGGGGGGGGGGGGGGAGGGCGTGGCGGCGCCTCAAGTATGCCTCGTCCTTCTGAGTGTCGTAGAGGTGCTGGGCGTCGAGGACGTCGTGCATCGTCACCATGTGCTTCGCCTCGCTCAGCGCGCCCGAGCGCGAGCGGCGCAGCTCCTGCATGTGCCCGCCCACGCCCAGCACCAGCCCTAGGTGCACGCAGAGCGTCCGGATGTACGTGCCTGCCTCGCAAGACACGCGAAAGATGCCGAGGTGGCGCTCATTGTCGTACTCGATGAGCGTGTTCTGGTAGACGGTGCGCACGCGCAGCTGCCGCTTCACCGCGGAGATGAGCGGCGGCCGCTGGAACAGCGCCCCCGTCAGCTGCTCCAGCGCACCCGTCAGCGCGCGCGCGCCGTCAATCGCGTCGTGCAGCCTCACGATGGCAATGTACTCCTTGCCGGCGCCCTGCTGCGACTTGACGAGGCGGGTGGCGCGGTTGAGGCAGACGATCAGGCACCCCGTCACCTTTGGGTCCAGCGTTCCCGAGTGCCCAGTCTTCTCTGTCCGCAGGATGCGGCGGATCCACGCCACGACCTCGTGCGACGACGGGTTGGCGGGCTTGTCGAGGTTGATGACGCCATACTTGAGGTACTCGGCGAGGGGGCGCTTGAGCGGAGTGCTCCCGTTCGGGATCGGCGTATAGTGCCCGGTCCGCACATTGAGCTGATCGTAGTTCTTCAGCAGCAGCGGCCACTGCGACGTGTCGAGCGGCGGCGTGCTGCTCTGCGGCTTGATGAGGAAGTCGTGCGCGTCCTGCGCCGCCGCTCCGGAGCCGCCCGCCACCTTCTGCTTGCCGTCCTTGCCCATTCGCCCCGCCACGACAGGAGGGCTGGGCTTCCTCCTGCTGCTCGCCTCGTCGACTCTCGGCCCCCGCAAAGAAAAGAATGCTTCGCGGCTTCCTGTAATCATGTGGTCCCCACATTCGCAATCGTGGGATCGCTTGTCATGTGAGAGAGTGCGTTGTGTTCTTGTGTTGGGACGTGCACTACGAAGTCAAGTGCTGGAACCCTCTCAGCAAGTCGACGACGTTGCTCAATGGTGGCAATGTGGCGTCGGTGGGACGGTGGGCCACCTCTACGGGTTTGGAAACACGCTGGACAAGGCGTTGACGGGAGTCGTGGGGTGCAAGGAGCGTGGCCGTCAGGTCACAGGTGGACGGACCGCTCGACCACTCGACTGGAAAGACAAACAACCTCTGGGGGGAGGCGGGGGCCCCCGGAGGCACCGTGCGCCGCGCAGCAGTGCGGAAACGGGGCTCCGGCTCTACTAGTCTCTACTAGCACCCACTTCCTTGAGTAGAGGGCAGATTTGGAGAGATCTCGAGGAGTACATACAGATAGACCCTCTAACCATAAGAAAACTCCGACCTGATCGGTCGTACTGACCGCCGACAGATCACTCCAGACAGCAGACAGGCCGACGTCTGCACACGGCCGGCCGGGCGAGAGGCTTGACACGATCCGACCCTGCGACCCTGACGCTGCTGCTCTAGCTATCAGACATGCGCTGCTGACTGCTGCCACAATGTGCGACCGGTGCTGACCCACTTGGCGGCCTTCCCGGTCAGTGGTGAGGCGCAGTTCAGAGCTGTCGATGGCGCGATGCCGCACTGGTCCCACATCGGTGACACGAGACCACCAAGTTTGCCGGTCCAAGAGAGAGGCACCGGCGCTGTCCTGAGAAGGTGCATGGTCCCTCTTGACTGCCCATGCGCGCGAGGCTGTGTAGGCATACTTAGCCTCGAGAGTGCCAGCAGCCAATCCGAGGCAGTTTGTGACGCGCATTGCGTCAGAAGCGTGCACGCGCTGGAAGGACACCTTCCTACTGGCCGTAGCGCCGTACGATCAGGTCGTCACTGAATGCCGAAGACTAAGGCCGCGAGCTATGCAGGCGGTCAGTTGAGCAGCATGGCACGGTCAGCAGCGCCGAAAGGATGTCGCAAGGCGTGATAGCATGGCCGCAAGTACGCCGAATTCCCATGAAAACAACTAAACAATCGCGCGAAAAAAGAAAAAATCCAAAAATCGAAAATCGGTCTCTGTCATTTGGAATACGTGGAAAACGTATTCAGACAGTACTACTAGTACTGTAGGGTCCCACACGAGAAAGCGGATGTCCGTTACCAAACAAGAACACAACGCACTCTCTCACATGACAAGCGATCCCACGATTGCGAATGTGGGGACTACATGATTACATGAAGGGTGGCGGGGCCCGTTGCAGAGCTAGGCGGCGCGGGCACCCCCCACTGGGGCCGAGGACAAGAAGCCGTTTGTCGCTTGCTTGTTTGTTCTTTTGCTTGTTGATCCAGTCGGTACGCTCCTTGGTTGCGCGCCTGCTTTTCATGTTTTCGGCGTCGCCCGCCACCGCCGCCTTGGAGATCTGCTGCGTGTGGTGGACGACGAAGGAGGAGGCGCTCGCCGACGCCGCCCCGTACACCGTCCGGTCCGTGTTAGTGCCCGCCGCTTCCTTGGGGGAGAGAGATTTTAGAAAACCAACAAGAAATCACGTCTCTCACAGTGATTTGGGCTCGGCAGCTTGTCAGCCTTCCTTGGCGAACACGAGAGAGAACACGTGGAGGAGCTGCTTGGTGGGCGGCGCAATGCCTCCCAAAGTTTCCACGAGCACCAGGCGCGTTAATGGCTTTCTTGACCCACTTCGCGTCGCGTAGTACTGCGCCCCCATCCACAAAAACGAGTCGCACTTGGAGCACTTGGAGTGCAGTCATTAACCTCACATCCAGGGCCGGGGAGCTAAGAAGCGCACCCAGCGGGCCGGATGATCGGTATCGGGTTACGGGCTAGAGAGCCCTAGCCCCGGGGGTGCGCGTTCGCAGGGAAAGGGCCGTAAAGTAAACACGGGTCCCCGAGGGTTGGCTCTGCGCTCCGGGTTTCCCCTAGCAGCGGAACGCCCCCTCTACTCGGGGCTAGTAGACACCAGACACTAGCACGACAACACACACATTCCTCACTGACGTCACCACTCGGAACCCCCCGCTCCGCGCACGGTCTCCTCACCCCCACTCCGACCGGGGCGCGCTGCGCGTTTTCTTCTTCCTTATCACAGCTTAGACTGGGGGCGGCGAGCGGGCAGCGGTGTCAGCGTGCGCGTACAGCGAGCACGAGCACCGCGACCGAGAGCCGCGGCGCTGCGCGGCCCATGTCGTCCTCCAAGCACACGGCCTCGTTCGGGCTCGTGCTCGGCGGCAAGCTGAGCCTCAAGGGCGGCGGCGGCGAGGGCGGGCTCGACGGGATCCGGAAGAAGAAGAAGAAGAAGAAGAAGCGCGATCACCCCGCGGACGGCGCGGCCGGCGGCAGCGACTCGGAGCTGGAGGTGCCCGAGTGGTCCGACACGCCGCTGCCCGGGACGGGCGAGCTGACCAGCTCGGGCGTGGTCGTCATGGGCCACGGCACCGCCTTTGACCGCGAGCTGTCTGTCGGCGACTCGCTGCTCGTCACCGTCACGGACCGCTATCGCAACACGACGGTGGACGAGTCGCGCGTGGTTAACATGGTGCTGGGCAAGGGCTCGCTCAACCTCACACAGCCCTTTAGCTGCGACGTCTCGGCGCCGATCAGCTTCATGTTTGTGCGGTGCGCTCCTCCCCTCCTCCCCTCGCCGCGCAGCACGCCGCCGACCGCCGACCGCCGACCGCTCACCGGCCCGCCGTACCCGCCGCTCAGGAAAGCGCCTGATATGGAGGCGCTCCGCGCCGAGCGCGACGCGAAGAAGGCGCGCGCCGCCAGGGCCGACCAGGCGTCGAAGGAGGTGACGTACAAGGTGTACAAGAACAGCACGGGGACGTGGAACTCGTGGAAGACGGTGACGGAGCGGGTGGCGGAGGGAGTGACGAGGGAGGATATGCTCGACAAGCGGTGCAAGATGAAGTCCGACCATCACTGCAAGTGATGATGGTGGCATTGTGACGGTCGTCGCGTGGGGCGGTGGGGGCGGCCCGCGTTGCGCTCTTGGTCTTGCGCTCTCCACCCCATCCGCTCGTGATATTGTTTTGGCTTGCTCCAACTGAAAAAGGAACATTTCGCCGGCCTATCCCGTGCCTCTCAAAGGCAAATCGACTGTTCCTGCGCTGGTGTTGCTGAGCAGTGAGCTGTTGGCTGTTCGTGCCGGCGCACATCTCTGCTCTTTTTTGGCACTTGGCTCTTGGGCGGATGGGCGCACCTCGGCTGCAGCGGCTAGACTTCGCTAAGCCGTAAAGACTAAAGTCTTCTCCTTTCCCAGTGAGATGATGGAGAGGCGGGACGACACTGCTTCGGCAGCAGCGTGCACCTCTCGATCCCCTGTCCTGGTACCGTGTTTGTTATGAGGCACTTGGAACTTATTAACCATTATTTCGTGTAAAAGTTGCGCGCGTCCTCTCCGAACTTGAGATCCGTCGTAAATCCCAAGCATCCTCGCGCGCGCTAGGCCGGCCGCTCTCCTCATGACGAAAGCGCGGGAGCAGTACTCCGCCGACAAGCATGTCTGTGGCGACGGCGAGGTTTGCGTCGGCGTCGGTTGCGACTTTCGCGGAGGCAGCACCGCTGTGCTGGAGGACGGCACACGCTGGGTGGGCGACGGAGCGACTCACTTCTTCAGTCCGAATGACTGTCCATTCTGCACCTGCCAGCCAGCCCAGTGGCCGTGGCATCGCTGCTCGCGCACGCTTGTGGGGGCGCGGGCGCAGCTGATGCGTGCGCTCAACGGCCGCTACGAGATACTGGGCTTCGGGTCGCGTTTCAACGGCGATCCCGCGCTCTGCCCTCGAGCGAGGCGGCTCGGAGACCTAACCGAGCGTTCGCCACGAGCTAGGCATGCTGCACGTCGCCGCCCTTGCCCTCGAGCGAGGCGCCGGCTTCCAGTGGGGCTCACAGGTCTGCGCCGCCGACAGGCGGAGCGGGCCCTTTTGCCTCTTCCGGCCTGTGAGCGCGTGCGGCAAGGCGCCGATCGCAGCGTGCACAAACCCGATGCGGCTGGGCGTCGGTGGAGCGGCCTGCTTTGACTGGGGTCTCGGCCCGAACGTGCTTCCCGCTGTCAACACCTCTCCTCCGTGGGCTGATGAGGCGCCCCTCAGCTTGGTAGACCCGTCTCGCCCCGTGGACCTGCCGACACCCCGTCTCTCTCCCACTCCTCCACCCCTGCCACCCCTGCCACCCCTCGCTGAGACGAGGTGCCAGCCCTTCGCCTGCAGGCACCTCCCGTTCCGACGGTGGAGTACCGGCCCAACCGGACGCGCCTCTGTGGCCTGCTCCTCCGACGATCGTCCAGCAGAGGCTCGTTGCACGCCTGCCTCGAGTCAGCGGCTAATGACGGAGAAGCACGGCGACGTGCGCAGCCAGATGCAGGCGTCGCTCACCGGGCAGCCGCTCGCGGGCAGCCACGGCCCCGACCACGCGCCGACGCGCGTGCTGCTCATCGACGAGGTCGATGTCTTCCTCGACCCCAACTTCTTCGGCGGCGTCTACCGGCCGAGCCTGACGATTGGCGACGAGCGCGTCTCCAAGCTGATGCGCGCGATCTGGAATGACCCAAGCCAGAAGGTCACCGACCTGCCCGAGTACGCCGGCCTCTTCAAGAAGCCCGCCGTCATCTTCAAGGGCGACCAGAAGAAGCACGGCTTTGAGTGGTACGCGCAGTCGGCGGCGCTGGACATGCAGCGCGCGGCGGCCGACTTCAAGAAGAAGCCGCAGGTGCGCGGCTCCGACTACCAGCTCATCGACGGCTGGGTGTGGTACAAGCAGCAGGACGGGCTCGTCCGCTCCGACAAGCTGACGTACATGTGGATGACCAACTGCGTGTACCTTGACCTGTGCGACAAGGGCAGCATCAGCGAGGAGCAGCTGCTCGACCACGGCCTCCACCTGTACGCCGTCTGCGGAGAGTTCTCCTACGCGCTGCTCCCGTCGACGGAGAGGTACTCCGACCACGTGCCCGCCTTCTACAAGTTCATCCTCGGCGTGACGGGCACGCTGCGCGAGGGGCGGCTGCCCAGGGAGGCGCGCGAGCTCCTCGAGGACGAGATCCGTATCAAGCACATGACCTACTGCCCGTCGATGTACGGCCCTTGCGTGCGCGACTGGGACCCGGCGAGCAAGGACAACGTCAAGGTGAGCGAGTCGAAGAACGAGCACTTCCTGATGATCACCGACGAGATCTCGCGGCGGCTGAAGCCGACGAGCCAGTCGTACGACGGCAAGCGGTCGGTGCTCGTCTTCTTCGAGAGCCTCGACGAGCTGCAGGCCTACTTCGACTCGTCCTTTTTCCGCCGCTTCCAGGACGGCGCGAACCGCCTCACCGAGGCCGCGTGCAACCAGCCCGACGAGCGCGCGTCGCTCATCTCCAAGGCGACGCGCCAGGGGCAGGTGACGCTGGCCACGCGCTCCTTCGGCCGCGGCATCGACTTTGTCGTCGACGACGAGCACATGCTCACCGTGGGCGGGCTGCACGTCCTGCTCACCTTCTTCCCGCGCGACGTGCAGGAGGAGGTCCAGATCATGGGCCGCGGCGCGCGGCAGGGCCAGAAGGGCTCGTTTAGCCTGATGTTGCGATCCGACCAGCTCGAGGACCTCGCCGGTGGCAAGGCGAGTGCGGACGACATCAAGGCGTGGCTCTCCGACTCGACGCTCTATGAAAAGATGTCCGAGATCCGATCGGCGCAGGCGGCCGCTGACATGAAGGAGCGGCTCGAGAAGGCCGAGGACGCAAAGAAGCAGCACGAAGAGGCCGCGGCCGCGCTCAACGCCTTTAGCAGCTCGGGCGGCCGCGACTCGTCGCAGCTCTCCAAGCTCCTGCGCAAGTACAACCACGTGGGCGGCTCGACCACCAGCCGAACGCTGATGCTCATCGACGTGACCTACTCGATGAACTCGCTGATTGAGAAGACCAAGTCGTGCATCGGCACGTTCTTCGATCGCTGCCAGAAGGTGCTCGACGCGGAGAACATCGCCTCCGGCTTCGCGCTGCAGATCGCCGGCTACTCCAACTACAACGTCGACGTCGAGCGCATCGTCGAGGCGTCGACGTGGGAGGCGAAGCCGCACAACCTCGCCCAGTTCCTCGGTCAGCTCGAGACCCGCGGCGGCTGGGGCGAGGAGGCGATCGAGTGCGGGCTGATGCACGCGCTGGCCGAGCACAAGAGCTGCCCGATCGACCAGATCATTCTCATCGGCGACGCGTCGGCCAACAGCCTGAGCGACATGGCCCACAAGCGCAAGGGCGGCCACCATGGCGGCGAGAGGTACTGGTCCTCGGCGAGGCCTTCGTGGGCGCCGAGCGGCATCGCGCAGAAGGAGGCGGTGCAGGTCTTGAACGACATCCAGCAGGTCAAGCCCGTGCCCGTCCACTGCTACCACATGCACGACCGCGCCGTCGAGTCCTTCGAGAAGATGGCGGCGGTCACCGGCGGCGGCTCGGCGCAGCGCCTCGACGTCAACTCAGCCAGCGGCGCGCAGGCGCTGACGGACGCCGTGTGCAAGCAGATCCTCTCGTCGCTCGGAGGCCAGGCGCTCGCCGACGCGTACGAGCGCATGAAGCCATCGTTCAGCCGTTGAGGCTCGGCTGCCAGCGTCGCCACGCGAGAGCGCTCCGGAGGGAAGGTGAGCGCTGAGTGCGCGGCGAGCGAGTGATTCGGCCGGCACGCGGCAGATGAGAGATGAGAGATTTACGTGAAAGATGAGATACCTCGTGAGATGAGAGATGAGATACCATTGTTTTGTGTTTTCCACCATCCGCAATTTTTGTCTCTGTATATATCACTAGAGAAAGCAATGGACACTCCCAACTGGCACACTCACACACACACGTCACACACGATCACGCCATCTACAGAGTACAAGCTGAAGCTCAGCCTTGAAACCGCCCGCTCTCCTGTAAGCTTCGCTGCGGCGGGCGGCAACACGCTAGTGATTAACCTGCCCTTCCTCGCTCGACTTGTGGCCAAGATGCCCTCCCCAGCTCAGATGCTCACCGATGTCGCCATCTCGCGCGGGTCGAAGGCGCGCACTTTGAAGCGCCTCGGCCCGCGGTTCCGCTCGTCGACCTCGGCGGACACCTGGAGCAGCTTCGCCTGGAAGTCGCTCCACAGCGCGCGCGTGGCGTTGCGGTGGCCGTCGCGCAGGAAGACGTGCGAGTAGTCGCCGAGCAGCATCGGCTGCTTGAAGCCGGTGACGAGGGCGATGGCGAGCACCTGCACCGCTGCCTGCACGTCCGACATGTCCCTCCCCGGCCGGATCTTGGCGCCGGCGTACCTCGGGTCCTTGACGGCGGAGTAGGCGGCGCCGACGTGCCGGTGCCCTGCCGTCACGTGGAACACGAAGCCGGTCAGCACCTCGACGAGGGCCTCGCGCGACGATAGCGGCGGGATGCGCGGGAAGTGAGCGACGAGCGCCGCCCAGAAGGACGCTAGCACCACGTCCGACCCCACCGCCGCGTCGTCGGCGTAGTAGATGCCCACGTACCGTCCGACGTACTCGCGGACCGCCGCGCGGTAGCGGGTGCCGTCGGCGGCGAAGGCGGCGAGCTCGTCGGCCTCGTCGGCGCAGGCGGCTTGGGACGAGGGCGGCGTCGCAGCGCACTCGGCGGCGGAGCTGAGGGGGTACTCGAGAGGGTACTCGAGGAAGCGCGCCGGGTTGGCGGGGTCGAAGGTGTCGCGTGTGCGGTTGAAGGCGAAAGCGAAGCCCGCCTCTAGCCCGGCAGCGTCGAGGGCAACGGTGTGGTGCAGCAGCGACAGCTCGTGCACAAGCAGCGGGCCTGATCCGCAATCCCGTCACGCTCACCCATCTCAGCATCACGCTTGCAGCGATTGTGCGAGCAGCGTGCCGGCGGCGCGGTTGACGGCGATCGTGCGGTACGTGAACGGCTTGAGCAGCCGGCGCAGCGGGTGCGTGGCCGGCAAGTGGTCGCGGCTGGCGGAGACAAGCGTCGCGGCGATCGTGAGGTGCGTCGCCGCCAGGTGGTCCTTGAGAGTGACCCCGGTGAGCAGGCTGGAGCGGAAGGCGAACTTGGCGTGCGTCCACGCGGCGTCGTCCGGCCTCACCTCCTTCTCGCCATGCGACCACCAGATCGAGACGGGACGCGCCGCCGCGTCGAATGTCGCCTTTGCGCCGTACCGCTCGAAGCCTGGCCGCACCGTCAGCGGCGCGAGGTAGGTGAAGTCCGCCTCGTAGCCATCGGCCGTCCGCCGCGTGACGTGCGCGCCGAGCCCCGCAAAGCAGAGGTGGGCGAGGCCTGTGGGGGACGTGTCGGGCACACATCTCGAGGGAATTGCGTCCTGAACCAGCGCCGCGACGCAGGGGGGGGGAAATCTGGATTGCCTGCGTCGCCAATCAGCGAGTCGCCTCCGATGTTTGCGTCGTAGTCGTACAGCTCGGCGGGCGCGAGGCTGCCCGAGAGCCGTCCCATCAGCGCCTCGATGGCGCCGTCCTTCTCGGGCCACGGCAGGTCGAGATCCTCGAGCGGGTAGAGGCGGCCGTCCTTGACGTAGCCGCTGAAGGCCTGGTTCGCGAGCGCGCGCGACGTGACGAGCCCCTCGTCCTCGTCGTAGCTGGGTAGAACGAGGCCAGGCACCACCTGCTCCTTGGGCAGCGGCTGCACGGTCCGGTTCGGCGCTTGCACGAAGGAGGGGCCGGGCTGAGACCCATCGTCGAGGAGGTGGATGATGGAGAAGTAGACTTTTGTGTACTGGTCGAGGCCGCCCGTCGGGTCGACAGCGCACTCCGGCCCGGCAGCCTCGCCCCCTCCCTCGCCGCAACCGGTGATGTCGCCGAAGGACCGCGGAATTGCGAACGAATGAATCGCCGAGAGCGCCAGCGCGAGCAGCACCGGAGCGCTGTGCTTGAAGCGGAGCGCGCGCCTCATGAAGAGCTCCGAGGGGTAGGCCCTCCCCAGCCCGCGCCCTTGCACGCGATCGATGTGCGCCGCCGCAGCAAAGTACACGCTCGGCGCGAGGAAACCGCGCGCAAAGACCTCGTACTTCCACGCGTGCGGCGCCGCCTCCGCGCCCAACAGTCCGCGCGCGAGCAGCGTGACGCCGATGCCCGAGCCGGCCTCGTAGTCGATCAGCGACATGCCGCGCTGCTCGGCGATCACCTGGCCGACCCAAAAGGCGATGAAGGCGCACGCCGCCAGCACGAGCACGCCACCGTGCCGCCACCAAAACATGGCGATCGCGATCCACGACTTGGCCGCAGCGGGGACGAAGAGTACGCACGCCGCCGCCTGGAGGGAGGTACAGAGCAGCCCTCCGGCGGACTTTGAGCGGTCTCTCCGATGAATCCATCTCGGCGGTCTCTCGGCGGGTTTCCAGCAGCCCCCCGGCGGCGCCTGCAGCATGTGCGTCGGGATGACGGTGCCGAAGACGGCGAACGCGCCCACGAAGATGGCCATCACGCCAAAGCAGAGGCGCAGCGCGGAGGCCGACTCGGCGCGCGCGCGCGCGTCGTCGGCGTGGGTGACGACAGCGTGGAGGCGGAGCCACGAGAAGGCGGCGATGGCCTGGCCGAGGTAGTGCAGCAGTCCGAGCCAGCTCTGCACGCGGATGATGCCCGCGTCGCCCTTGACGTACAGCGCGCCAAAGGCGAGTCTCTGGCTGAGGCAGAACCAGCCGAGCACGATGAGGGCCTACCTCGCGCGGTCTCGGGTGAACTCGGCGCACCCTCGGCAGCAGACAGAGCCGGCCGAGCACGACGAGACGCCTCTGCGGCGGTGAAGATGCCAACGGAGAGGGAGGCCTATCCGCACGCGCCGCGATTGAGGGGCGTCTGGCTAGCCGTGCGGCGTGGCGGTGGCGAGGCGCGCGCCTCGCCAGGGATGCCAAAGAGCGAGACGAGGACGCCGAGGACGATGTTGACCAGCCCGGCGCCATAGTAGGCATACATCGCCTTCGGGGGGTGCCAGCAAGTCAGTGACGAATGGGCGGGGAACGCCGCCGTCAGCAGGCGTGCGGCACCTCGTCGTCATGCTCGTTGCGCAGCTCGAGGTCCTCGCTCGGGCGGTCGGACGCCGAGTAGTCGCAGCTGCCCTGCCCCGGCGACGGACGAACCGCAGCCTCGACCTGCCACTGCGCCGCGCGAGCTCGCGGCGCGGCGGGGGGCGCGTCGCGCGGCGGCAGGCTCTGCTCCACAATCTGCCGCGCGAGGTCGATCGAGAGGGCGCGGCCGGGGCAGCCGCGCGGCGCCTGAGGGACACGTCGCGGACACGTCGCGGACTGGGCAGGTGGCAGAAGGCGGGGCAGGTGGCAGGAGGCGGGGCAGGTGGCAGAAGGCGGGGCAGGTGGCAGAAGGCGGGGCAGGTGGCAGGAGGCGGGGCAGGTGGCGGAGTGTGGCGGAGGGGGTGTGGCGGAGGGAGTGTGGCGGAGGGAGTGTGGCGGAAGGAGTGTGGCGGAGGGAGTGTGGCGGAGGGAGTGTGGCGGAGGGAGTGTGGCGGAGGGGCAGAAGGCGGGGCAGGTGGCAGAAGGCGGGGCAGGTGGCAGAAGGCGGGGCAGGTGGCAGAAGGCGGGGCAGGTGGCAGGAGGCGGGGCAGCTTCGCGTTGCCTGGCCCGCGCGCACGGCCGCGTCGACGCCGTTCCACGAGAGGACCTTGTCGAGGTTGCGCCGGCTCGGGTCGAAGGCGTACGGCCGCTCGAAGACGGCAGGGTCGCGGTTCGCGTGGGAGAGGAGCAGCTGCATCGGCACGCCCTGCGCGACCCGCAGCTGCCCCCCTCCGGGGCCCTGCAGCTGCTGGCCGCCCTTCGGTGCGATGGCGGAGACCGAGGTGACGGGCGGGTCGAGCCGCGCAGACTCGACGAGGAAGGCGTCCGGGTCCGCCTGAGATAGCCCGAGGTCACCCGAGGTCACCCGAGGTGACCCGAGATCACCCGAGATGACTTAGCTTCCGGGGCCGCCTCCCAGAGAGGCACGTACAGCGCCGGGTCGCTGGAGATCCGCTCGAGGGCGGCGAGGGTCAGGTGGGTCGTGCCTGCAACCGGAGGCGAAACGAGGTGAGTCGAGGTAAGCTGCAGCCCAACTAGAGGCGGCGGCGAGGAGAGAGGAGCACCGTAGCCGCCCGCGAACAGGAGCCCGTCCGCCACCTGCTGCGCCAGCTCGTCTGCGTCGAGCTTGTCTGCACGGTTCGCCTTGCGAAGCCGGCCCCCGAGCGGCGAGGCGAGGACGGCCGCCTTGAGCGCGAGTCGCGTCTCGAGCGTCGCGTTGGCCTGCGAGTCGAGCGCTGCGCCAAGCAGCGGCGCCTATTGAGTTCCAACTGCTGGACGACAAGAGGGAGTACTTATTGAATCGCGGAGTATTCCTCCGACAGCAGGCAGCCGGGCAGCGTGTCGAAGTACGAGAGCATCGCCTCGAGCAGCGGCTCGCTCGGAGGCTCGTCGCACATCCGCGCAAAGAGGTTGTACACAACCGTCTCCCGCACCGCCCGCGAGTCCCACTCGGCCGGCGCAGCGCCGCGCGGGAAGAGTAGCGGAGGGCCTCGCCCGCGCTTCAAGGCGAAGCCGGTGACGGCGCGGCCGATCGCTCTGCGCAGCGCGGTGTGCTTCGCGCCCGTGGAGAGGTAGATGAGAGTGCCGCCTCCCATGCACGCTGGCGGCACCGGGTCGGCGATCAGCACCGGGTGTGCCAGCACCATCGCCCTCCGCTCCTGCTGTGGGCTCGAGACGAGCGTCGACACGTCGTCGTAGCCGGGCACGGCGATGCCCTTACCGAAGAGAAAGGGCTGGCGTCCGCTCGCCCGCACATACACGTCGAGGTGGGCGGCCGGGTCCATGCCCGTGGCGACGGCCACGGGCACCTCAAAGGCGGCGAGGAGCGCCAGGCGGGCTGCCGTCGGGAGGCCGGCCTCGAGGTCTGCGCCAGCCGTGTCGACGAGCGAGGAGCGGAGAGCGAGGTCGAGCCTGGCGAACTTCAGAGCACCGTCAAGGCTGGAGAGGGCGCCGGCGAGGAGAATAGCCGAGGTTCCAGAAATGACGAGGGCGGAGAAGCAGCACGACGGCATGTGCAGCAGATGTCGAGCAGATGCGCGTCGAGCAGATGTCGCGTTGGCCGATCAGCCGCGCGATTGCAGTCTGCCAACGCAATTTATTTTTCGACACTAGGCAGGACTGCTCTATAAACTGGAAAGAAGAATTTCGATCGATTAAATCCCACTAGAAGAAACAAAACCAGCTCGCGCTCACTAGGTACGGGACGGAAAGAGTTTCACAACAAACTACCTCTCACACAACACTAGGCACGGGATTGGAGATCTCGGCTACGGGACCAGCCCCAGCTTCGGCTGAGGGCTGACAAGCTGCCGAGCCCAAATCACTGTGAGAGTCGTGATTTCTTGTTGGTTAATAAAAATCTCTCTCTCTCGGGATTGGCTCTATTACTACTCGAGTAACACAGGCGAAAAGAATTTCCGCCTCGACCTAGGCCTAGTTCCATTTCACTCCGACACGTGATTCTTGAAAAAGCTCCAGAGCGCCTGTAGCGCAGCCTCCTGCCGCACAGTGTGTCGGGCGTGGTAGTGAGCTGTGAGGGAGTAGTGATGGCCAGCGGCTGTCTGAGCGAAAGAGCGAGCCAAACTCGACGGTATGACAGGCAGGTAGTGCCTTACCGTCGCCAGTGGCGACGCTGGTGGCGTCGGAGTGACCCGGTACCTGCTTGTGGTGTGAGGCCTTACAATAGAGAGAGATTTTTAGCAATACCAAACAAATCTAACACTCACACGTCATTTGGGGCCTGGAGCCCTGTTCACGCGCGCGCGAGACGTGCAGACAGGGTTGCCAGGTGAGAGCGAATGGCGCGGTTCACGCCTCGCACAACAGAGAGAGATGCGCTTTGTGTTTGTGATCTGTGATCTGTAAGGGTCCGCCCGCAGGCGCATTTTGTATACCGAGGCGGTGCCCGGTGCCGAGCGCAGGCAGAGCCCACAGGTCGGACCTTAAGACAGCATTGTAGATCCCTGGGCGAGGGTGGTGGAGAGGGCGGTCCGTCGGCGCCAAACCACCTCCCACCGAGGCGGGCAGGTTCCACGCGTTCCCGGACCGCCCCGTTGGAGGTAGACCGCTCGTCTAGCCGATCAGCCTTAAGCGAGCGGTCTGGCCGTTGGAATGGCCGAGTTTGGTGGACTTGCGTCCTCGCATCGGATCGTGATTACAAGCATTGTTACACTTCGACCACACGAACTCTGACCGTCAGCTGGCCACTCCGGGGCGAGGGATATTCTTAGTAAGCCGGCATGCTGTGCATGCGCGACCGTGCAGAAACCCTCCCTCACCCATCTTCCTCCCACGATTCTCTCTCGGCGCGGTGTCTGTTGGAGGATGCCCTCCGGGCTCCTGACTGCCTTGGCGCTCCCTCCATTCGTTTGCGGCGTCGCATCTTTTGTTTCGGCGTCGTCGACTCCCCGTCCACTGTGTGCTGTTTGCTCGCCCCCTCTCCCTGACTCATCGAATCACTCCGTTCGTTCTCAAGTCGCCCCCGCTTCCTCGGCGGCTGGGGCGCCTCGTCCTCTGGCTGTTCCTCTTCTACGTCCATCACTGTAAACTCGTCGTCTGCCTGGCTGCCATCGTTCGGATGGCCCGTTTCGGGTGGTTGCTCGCTCGGTCCTGGCTTTGCTGCGCGGTCGGGTGTCTCCTCGTCGTCGCTCCTTGCGCCATCGTCGCTGTCTGTGTACAATAGCGCTTGACGAGAGATGAAGATGATGTCTGTTTACTGTTTTAGATGAGTCGTCATGATCAATGCTAACAATGCACCGTGTCATCCCCGCTGAGCGCCCCGCGCGGGACACATCGCGCGCGTGAGCTGAAGGCCGCACTGCGCAGCACGCCGCCACCCCAGACCCCAGCACCACTCACATCATTTATCCGCCTCCCCCCCCCCCCCCCCGTCCCCCAAGTGCGAGGCGTCTTCGGTCTCACGGGCGCCGCTTAGTCCTAAGATTGAGCATGCTCACACGCCTTTCAAGGCAGGCGCCGGTTGTACCGGCACACCTGGCAGACTCGAAACCCGCACTCTGTGCACTCGTAGCAATAGTGTCTGATGCTCTGGTCACAGTTGTTGCACGTACGGCGCCGGTTCCCCGCGAATTCGCGATATTGCAGCGTCTCCTTCGACCGATGCGAACACTCTTGGCCCTGGTGATTGGCGACATTGAGCTGCTGCCTGAGTGCGGCCCGTTCCGCCTGCTGAAGAGGTCGTCCAAGCTGCTCCTCTGCCACTTCGAGGCGACGCTCCTCCTCGCGGAGTAGCATGCGCTCGCTCCACAAGTCGCACGCGCATGCCTTGGGGTCCTGCCATGCGACTCCACACGCGTAGCAAAACTCGTGGCCGCATATGCAGGTGATGTGGTTGCAGCCATGCTTGAGGGCGACGTAGGTCAAGCAGTTCTCGCACCGTCGCCAACCCTGGTCATAGGCCAGGGCGACCAACGCAGGATCCTCAGCTGCAGGCTGGCACGGCACAGAAGCGTCGTGCGCCTCGGCCTTGCATACGATGCACAGCATTGACTGGCATGCAACGCACGCGATATCCTTCCCGCTGGTTGGGAACATCGAGGTCGATGAGTGCGAGCACTGCGACTTCGGGCAGAACATTTTGTTGGCCTACTTGCGGATGTCCGAGGCCGACTTGCGGATGGCAGCACGCAACTTGGATGTGCTGTGCAATGCACGCGACTTCTGCGATCTGCGTGACACACTCCCGCCGTTCATCACAGACGATGAGATGTTCCTGCTCGACGATCTGGCCGGGGACATGCTGATTGACTTAGGAAGCGGCTTTGCGCCTGATGCACAGGGTCCAGCGCTCGTGGGCGTCTCGCCATTCGGAGCCTCGCCCGAACCGGCGCCGGTGCCGGTGCCGGTGGGCCAGCCCGAACCGGCGCCGGTGCCGGTGCCGATGGTCCAGCCAGAGCAGCATTGCCCTGACATGCCCTTGCCCTTGCCCTTGCCGGAAGCCGCCTTGCCGGAAGACGAGGCACTGGACGAGCAGGCGGCCCTCGTGGAAATCGCACTCATCAATTTTGCAGCGTACAACGACCTTCTCCCGGGCAGCGTGAGCATTGCGCGTGTTGAGGCCACCTCTGCCGGCATCACCGGCTGGGCTGGGGCTGCGCCGCTGTCGCCGCCCGCCACCTCGGCCTGCAAGCGCGGTGCACCAGAGGAGGAGGAGGAGGAGACGACTGAGTGGGAGATCGTAGAGGCTGTCGTCCCTGCCGCCAAGCGCGCACGCCGATGCGATCTCGAGGAGGAGGCGTCCCTGCGCCGCGCTCTCCTCGCGTCTGTCGGCGTCGTCCTTCCAGCGGCGGACGTCCCGCTCGACGAGGAGGTCTCCCCCGCCCTTTACGACGAGGAGGAGGAGGACGAGGAGCTACAGGGCGTGACGATGGCGGAGGAGGAGGGTTTCGAGGTGGTGGCGGCGAAGGCCGGGCGCCCACCGTCGGTCAACCGCAAAAGCTGGCAGTGGAAGCAGGTTGAGGGGAGCGTCGCTCTCAGCGGTTCGGCGCCGCGGCCGCAGCGCGGCGCCGGCGGCCTGAGCCATGGCCTCGACACCTCGACACCAAACCTCGACACCCCCTCGACACCTCTATCCCTCGACACTGGCTCGACAGACTCGACACCGGGCCTCGACACCTCGACACCAAGGCTCAGGCGGCCGCCGCCGGCAACCGAGGATGACGACCTCGACGAGCAGTGGGAGCTCGTCTGAGGAGATTTTACGATCGGGCGCGCCATGATGTGTTCTCCCGCTATAGCACAGTGGTGTGAGTTAGCGCGCCCGAATGGTGGCTCCACACTTATGCTTTCTCTGTACGGCATGCCTCCTCGTCGTGAGACGTACACACGAGATGCCGCCACACACGGAAGACGACGGAACACAGGCCCGTGTGTAACACGTAAAACACGTGTATATGGGCGCTGCAGTTCCGACACACTAACTCACATGCACATGCACATGCACATGCACATGCAAAGGCGTAGGCGTATGCGTATCAATACTCAGTCACTCTACGTCCGAGCGGGCCGCGAGCCGGCGGGCACATGCTGCACGCATCGCCTCACCTCGACGCGCTGCTCGAGGGTGACGAACTCGAGCTCGAGCGCGTCGAAGCGGCAGCTGTACAGCTGCTCCGCCGCGCTGCGCTCCGCCGCCGGCTGGCGGCCGCGACCCTGATGCACGGACCGGATGTCGAGCTGTAGCATCTGCGAGATGGCGGAGCGCGCCGTCTCCTGCGGCGGCGAAGGCGCGGGCGGGGAGGGAGAGGGAGAGGGAGCGGACGAGCCGTGAGGGAGAGGGAGAGGCGGGGAGGTGGAGGAGGGGTGTGCGGCTGCTCGCCACCGCTCACCAGGTCCGTGTAGAAGCGCAGAGACCCGTCCGCGACGGCGGCGGCGAGCTGCGCTTCGGCAGCGGCGGTGAAGTGGACGGACGCGATGCGCGACGCGTCCGAGCGGGCCGCGCACCAGCTCGGCACCTGCAGGAAGCTTCCGAGAAGGTTCAGAGGGGGGGGGAGGGGCGCGGCACCCGCCCGCTCTGATCGGCACCGTGGCGCCGGCCGGAGCGTCGTGGAGCAAGTACGGCTTGACGTCGAGCACCTGCGGGGCTGCAACGTCGAGGTCGACCCCGAGGCTCTACCCCCGAGGGCGGTTCAGAGCCCGAGGGCCAGCCCGGCACCGGGGTGCCGTCGATGAGGTCTGCGCCGCCGAGCAGGAGCGTGCCGCCCTCTACGTGCAGCAGCGCCGCGAGGGAGAGGCCGATCGGGTTGGGGCGGTGAGGCGTGCGCGTGGCGAAGAGGCCGATCGAGCCGCCCAGTAGGCCGGGCGGGTGCACCTTGGCACGCACCTGCGGCGCGGCCGACGCCGCCGCCTCGCACTCCCGCCTCTGCTGCTGCTGCTGCTGCTGCCGCTGCTGTGCTCGGCCGCGCTGGCGCTTGGAAAGACCTGATGGAGGTGAGAGAGCCTCTGCCGCGGCCTCTGCTGTGGCGCCGGCGCCTTTGCCGCCGCCGCCGCCACCGCCGCCGCCACCGCCGCCATCACTCCCTCCGCCGCCACCACTCCCTCCGCCGCCACTTCCACCGCCGCCGCTGCCGCGGAGCTTGGCGGCATTGGTGTTTTCGTGAAACTCGAAGATGAGCCAGACGTGCGAGAAGCCTTCGAGGCCCTCGAGCGCCGCCGCGGGCTGCACCGCGCGCGGGTCTAGCCGCAGTCGCGCCCGAGCATCCGGCACGAGCAGGCCTTGGCGCGGCGTGCCGCGCCTCTCCACAAAACACGACTCTATGTGGCCGATTGGCCGGTAGCCGCACGTCGCAGGGTTGACCACGGACGCTGCTCGCCGCAGCCGCCGCTCTGCCACGGTCCTCCCGGCACGCTCTGCTGCCCTCAGCGACTGCTGCGTGGCGATCTCATGCCTGAGCGCCGCGCACAGGCGGTAGAGCCGCCTCGCCTCGGCGATGGCCGCGAGTAGCGCAGCAGCGGTGAGCGTGAGCGCCAGGCGCCGCAGCATACAACACACACATACTCGTCGCCCTGAATGGTTGGGCAAGTTGTGGAGGGAGGACACGATCCCGGCGTGAACACGACTAACTGGCGGATCCGCTCCTGACAGTGGCATGCACCGCGCCGCGGCGCGTGCCACTGTCTTTGTTTCAAGTAAAAAGTCGAATCAGAGCGGTGTCGGCGTTGTCCTCCATTTTCCTCCCCTGGGCCCCCGTCCGGGACCGCTCCGGGACGCACGCCGGCGAAGCACCATCAAGCTGTTGTACGGCTCCGGCATCGCCTTCCCAGGCTTAGCTAGACTGAGAGATATTGTGCATACCGTCTGACTCTACAATGTACTCACTGACACTCTACCTCCCAGAGCTCGTCCCGGTCCATCACGGCCATCCTTGGCCTCCGGAGGGCCCCCGGCCGCGGCGCGGTGCGGCGGCGTCACAAATCCGACCACAGAGCACCGGGACGCGGTCGGGCGATCTGAGGTCCAACTAGGCGTATGCATTGCCCATCCAGTGCTATCACCTGGACCCTCGACCTGGACCCATCAACAGGCGCCTGCGGCGCCGTGGTCACGAGGTGTTGTTCACACTTGCCCAAGCATTCATGCAGCACAGTATGTATGTGTATGTGTGCTTTCACACTGTCGTTCGCGCAACGAGGCCGCAGATAAAAGAGTTACTTCCTCGGGGATAAAATAGAAGCCGCGAGAGCAAGGGATAGGCAGGCGGCGTCGTCGTCACAGAACGAACGAAAGGAAACGATGAGGCAGAGGACGACGGGGCATGCGAGAGAGAACGACGAGGGACGACCGCGAGGTGGCATGAAGGTTTGCGAGAATTGGCGAGAATTTTTTTCGTGGAGCAAACACCGCGAACAACGTGCGTCCCATTTCCCGCCACCCACAACTCTCAGCGACATCCACGCCGCGCACCTCCTCACAGAATCGATCGTGGTCCGGCGATGAGGCTGCGGCCCAGCATCCTTGGGGCGACCCAGATTGACGGCGAGAGTCTGAATGACGTGACTGACCTCTGCGACGGCCTCCGCGCTGTTCACGTCACGGCGCCAAGCATCGCATTTGTGGTCAACGACTTCAACCCGTCGCCTAGGCAAGCACGCTCGCTGCTGGAGGAGCAAGCCGCGCCGTTGGCCTTTGTGACGACGACGCGGGTCCGTGGCAGCAAGGCCTTCTTTTGGAGATCGGCGCTGGGGCACAATGTCACAGCCGGGTTTGACTACGTGTGGGTGTTTGATGGCGACATGGACGTCTCCCCGCGGTACTTTAGCTTGGCGCACGTGATCGCGGTGCTCGAGGCGACCGGCTCGCCGCTGCTGCAGCCGCTCGTCCTCCCCGCCTCACCCGGCGGCTTCGCGACTAACCATGCCGAGCTGCAGCCGGCTCTGGTCGGCGCAGCAAGCTGCATGGTACGGCCGACCCTCTTCGTCGAGGTGCAAGCGCCCTTCTTCCGTGGGGAGGTGTGGGCGCGCTTCCACGCGGAGGTTCTGCTCGCCCTGCCCGAGCACCTCCTCTTTGGCTGCGACTGGCTCGACGCCGTGTGGTGCCGCTTCGCCGAGCTTCTGACCTCGCGCCACTGCCTTGTCACGCGCGGCACCTTTCTGGTACACCGCGACGCACGGAGCACGAGGAACGGAAGCAGCCTGCGGCGGACGGGGTGCCTCCGGCAGAAGAGCGCGCTCGGCCGCCTCTTTGCCAAGCCAAGCCGATGCCCGCCCTTCTGGTTCGACACTGCGCGCGGGCACGTGAGTGTGAGTGAGGCAGCGGCGATGCCCGATGCGAGCCTTCTGATGCAGCCGGCGGGTTATCCATTCGACTACGTGCGGCGAGTGGTGCACAACTTCACCTCGCCGTGCATCAGCATCGAGGGCACACCGCCTCCTCCACCGCCTCTCTCTCCCATCGATTGGGCAGGCCAGGCCACGTGCAACGACGACAGGGCGGCCGCGGCCGCGGCGAGGCCGAGCCGCCCTGAGCAGCAACGGCGAACGAGAGGCGAGGGAGAGGCCAGTGGATCGCCGGCGCCGTCGCCCAGGCGGTGGGAGGATGCTGCGCACGCGTCCACCTCCTTCTCCTTCGCGGGAAACCTCTTCCTGGACGCCATCGTAGCGCCCTCGCAAGAGGACGAGGCGCGGCCAGCTATCTTTTTGTTCAGCCCCGAGCTGAGGGCAACTCCGCCGGAGGGTGCGGTGTGCCGCTTTGAGGGGAGGGTAGCCTCGCCACTGCGGCTCGTCCGCAGCACTGGACGGCGTGATGGACAGGACTCGGCGGGGGAGGCGTCGTTCAGCTCTCCGAATGAACACCCCGTGAGGCTTGCGTGGACCTGCGCCTTCCCGGAATGGCCCACTACCCCCGCCCGCCTCCCCGCCTCGGTCGGGATGAGTCTGGAGGCCAAAGGCGTGGTGCGGGCCGCCATCACGGTGGCGACGTGGCCGTGGACGTCGCGAGAGAGCAGATACGACGTAGCAGTCACTTGCATGGTCAAGCGGGTGGGCTGTGGTCCGATGCTGGACTCGCGCGGCGGCTGCTTCCGTGATTGGCTCGCCTGGCACCGAGCGGTGGGGGTCGGCCACTTTTTGCTGTACGCCAACGCGCCCGAGGGGAGCTGGGTCGAGGTCGCAGCTCGCGCAGAGGATGTGACGCTCGTCAACTGGCCGTGGTGGGTGAAGGGCGGCTTCAAGGATAACGTCAAGGTGCACCTCGCAAGCTTCGCCAAACCGGCCACACTCGGCCGCAGCTCGCGGCTCTCGGCTGTAGGCGCAGCGCGCGCAACTCAACCACGCGACCTTCGCCTTCTCCCGCCGCGCGCGCTGGCTCGGCTACTTTGACGTTGACGAGTTCTTCCTCCCCGCGCCATTGGGACAGGCGCCGCCACGCCGCAAGCACGCGACGGCGGCGCAGCTGCTAGACAGTGCCGCGCGGGACTCCAGCACAGTGGTGGTGCCGGCACGGGTGGCACAGCACCCCGACACATGCAGCCCCGCCTTCCTCCCACCCCTCGGCCACGCGTTGACCACGCGCCTCGCCAGCTGCCGCGCCTACCACGCCGACCTTGGCGGGTGGGAGGCGCACGCAAAGATCTTCCGCCGGCGCGGCGCGCCGTACCCCATCACCAACCCGCACGCCGTCACCTTTGCAAACGAGTCCCAAGTCGACGCGTCGAGCTGCCACTTTGTGCACTTTGCAGCAAAGTACGGTTGCAGGGCGGCAAACGAGACCCGCGAAGTGCCCCCGTCCCAGCTTCTTCGAGGGCCAAACGGGCAGCCATACACCGCCTCCTGCGTCGCCTACGAGGCGATCGCCGAGTCGGCGCTGGTGGCCGCCGTGGAGCGCTCAGTCTGGGAAGAGACCCGGACGCGTTGACATAAACGTTTCACCTTTCTCTTGTTCCCTTCGGGAGACTGAGTGCGAAGAAAAGAAATCGCCGTATTCGTTGAGATCGGCCCCTCCATCCTCCCTCCCTGACAACACTTCTGATGTATCGCGTCTCCTCCTACACCACGCCCCGGTCGCCGCGTAAGCGTTCGCCGCACAAGTTCGGCCGATCGCAGTCGTCGACGAGTCTCGACAGGCGGAGCGCGGCGCACAAGCGGCTCATCTTTCTTGATGTTGATGGCGTGCTGCACGACGCAGCGCCAGCGTCGGACGCAGAGATGTTCTGCTGGCTCCCGCTCCTCGCTGAGATAATCGAACGCACGGGCGCCGGCGTCGTCCTCTCCTCGAGCTGGCGGGAGTGGCCAAAGGCGGTCGCCTCCGTCTCGGCCGCGCTAGTGACGCGCGGGCTGCCGCCGCTGCTGGGCTGTACGCCCTCCCTTCTATTCAAGGGCCGCGACGCGGAGATCGGCGCCTGGCTCCTCGCCAACGAGGCCTCGCTCGCGCCCGGCTGCCGCTGGATCGCGATCGACGACATGCTGATGCCTACGCTGCAGGCGCATTTGGTGCGCACGCGCCCGTCTGGGCTCAGGGAGACCGACGTCTTGAAGGCGGTCGATTTGCTGATGTTCGGCACGGTGTCGACGGGCGAGCCTCCCCCTTCAGACGACGGCGGCTTTTCGGGCGGCGCGAGTACGCATTCTCGCTCGAGCGGAACAGGCTCCAGCGACGCAGAGCCTGGGGCTGCGGGCGGCGCCCTCACCGGCAGCGTGTCGCTCAATTTGCGCACTTGGGCGTGCCGCTGCGACTTCTGCTCCCTTCAGAGCCGACGCGCCGATCAGCTCGCTAGTTCACCGCTGCTCCGGCTCGCCCGGCGGTCGGCGGTCATGTGAGGGACGGCGTGATTCTCTACGCATGCAGGCATGGCATGGATGTGCGTGTTGTACGTGCGTTGTACCTCGAGTTGAGCCGCGCTCCTAGCGACGTGTAGTCGCGGCGGGTTGTGCGCTGGAGTGAGAGGTGAGGGCTAGGCTACGGTCTATCGTGGCAGAGGTTCAGTGTCGCACTGACCTCACTGTCGCATCACGTGCCGGTAAGCGGTATATCTCTCTACACATGGTGTCATGCTCAACCGCTCATCACATGCTACGAGAACGTAATGATATCACATGCACATGCACATGCACATGCACATGCACATGCACATGTGCATGCACATGCACATGCACATGCACATGCACATGCACATGCACATGTGCATGCACATGTGCATGTTGTTTCATGTGCATGTGCGAGCTGCGACCAGTGTGCGACCGCATCGCGGACATATGGATCATGGTCGCAGCGCCTGGCGCCGTGGCCGGCAGGCTTGGCCGGGCTGCTGGCAGGACTCCACAGGAGCAGTCCCGTGACCACCCCGCGCCACCGGGCCGGCCTTGGAGTCAGAAGTGACCGGTCGGCGGTAGCTCTCGCACTAAAATCCACTTTTACTTCCGTAGTAACCGTGCCGCACCCCGCCTGCTGCTCCTGGTCCTGCTGCTGCGGCCCGGGCGCTAGCTGGAGAGCCGCCTCTCTCGAAAATGTGCAAGGACAGATAAGGGCCGTGCGCGTGCGGGGACTGCCCGATCCGCGGGATATGCAGAGAGGAGCGACGAGAGCAGAGGCGCACTGGCCGCGCACCCGCCGCATGGGGGAGATGCATCGTTAGCTATGCATGGGACAACAGAGAGTCGGAGATGGAGAGAGAGAGAGAGAGAGAGAGAGGGAGAGAGAGAGAGAGGGAGAGGGAGGGAGGGAGGGAGCGGAGAAGAGAGTGAGGAGGGGAAAGGGAGCGGCTTCGCTCACTTGGCGGCGAGCTTGGCCTCCGCCTCGAGCCGCTTGTTGCGCGCCTAGTCTCGGGTCCTCCCGTGTCCTCCCGTGTCCTCTCGTGTCCTCGCCCCCGCCGAACGCCGCGCGCCTCAATGGCGTCCTGGCCGAGCCTCCAGAGCACAGAGAACATGAGGCCCTGGCAGCCGTTGGAGATGATCTTGGTCACCAGGCCTCGGAAGAGGAGGCCGGAGATGCCGTCCTGCGGAAGGCGCGAGGGGGGGGGGGGGGGGGCGGTGGGCCAGGCGGCGCAAGGGGCGGGAGGGTGGTCGGTTGGCGTTGGCAGGGGAGGGGGCGGGGCGCCGCGCCTTTGCAATGACTTGCTGCAGCGCCTGCCCGTAGCCGATGGGCACTTGCGAGGTTTGTGTCGTGGTCTTGATGACGCGGATCGAGTTGGAGCAGGTGTCGGAGACGGCGGAGGAGCAGAAGCCGAGCAGCGCGTTGCGGGCCTGCGTCGCATGGCGGGCGGGGACGTGGAGGCGGCAAGGCGGCGGGCGGGGCAGGCGGGCGGGCGGGCGGGCGAGGGGCGGGCGCACCAGGTACTTAGGCAGGTCGACGTGGCGGTCGACCTGCGGGATCTGCGCGTTGAGGAAGTTGTACGTGTAGAACCACGGGTAGTGGCCCACGAAGGTGGCCGTCATCGCGCCAATCGAGCCTGCAGGCGCGTCGGGTGGACGGGTCGGGGTCGGGCGGACGTGCGGCGAAGGCTGAGGGGTCGAGGGTGGAGGTGGAGAAAAGGGGAGAGGGGAGGGCGGCGAGGGCGGCGAGGGTGGAGGTGTCTCGGACGTGTCGCTCGTCACCGTGCCACAGCACTCCCACCCCGCCCTTTTGGATCTTTGCGCGGAGCTTGCTGAGGCCGTCGGCGCCCTCGACCTGGAGGATGGTCTTGCACGCGTCGATGGGCATCAGGAAGATGCGGAAGCTCGCCGCGGCGGCCGACGAGGCGACGGACTTCACCGCGGTGGGCAGGTTCTTCGTCTGTGCAGCGGGTGAGGGCAGCGTCACTGGCCGGGGTGTGTTGTGAGGCGAGGGAGCGGGCAGGGTGGTGGAGGAGGGTGTGTTGTGAGGCGAGGGAGCGGGCAGGGTGGCGGAAGAGGGCTGTGCCGGCAGCGAAGTGTCAGGCAGGCGAGGCCTGGCACAGGGGGGCGCTAGAGAGCGTCTGTGCGGCGCGTAGCGAGGCGGTGGCGGCCCTCTGTCACGGGTGCAGCGAGGACAGTGGAAGCGTGTGGGGAGTGTTTCGCGCCTCTGCGCGCGAGTCGAGCAGCGCAATCATGCCTGCGTTGGAGGCGGTGTCTCCGAAGCGCGAGAGGGGGCCCTGGATGAGGGCGGGGCCGACGCCGCGGTAGAAGCGAGGGATGCCGCCCTGCGAGGGCAGCGCCACGAGGGGAGGGCGCGCTCAGCGCAAGAAGAAGCATGGGTCTCCTTACGTCCTTGCCCGGGGGCCGTCTCCTTGGTTGAGAGAGGGAGAGGGAGGCGGCGAGGAGAGGGGAGCGAGTGGCTGGAGCTTGCGGCGGCAGCCGCGAGTCGCACCTCCTTGTAGAGGTGACGCAGCGCCTCCAGCGTCCCCATCCCTTTGGCGTACTGGAAGTTGACGGTCGTTCGCATCCACATGAGCGCTCCCACCTGGCAGAACATCGCAGCCGCGCCAGCCACGCCACCGCCCAGCGCCCGCTTCCCAGCCTTCCTCAGCGTCTCGACCAGCGGCTCAGCCTCCTTCTCCGCAGGCTGTGGGGTGGGGGCGTGGCAGTCAGAGACACTGAATGCTTTGGCGTGCGCCGTGGGCGGCGCGGTTGCGTGGCGGCCGCTGGGGTTTCCGGGTGCGCACCGAGGCAGCCATGACGAACGTCCGTGTGGGACCGTATACGCTGTTCAGGCCGAACGACATACTTTGGGCAGGGAGCAATCAACACGAGGTCGGCGACGATGCACTTTCGGGCCGCACGCGAGCTGGATTCCAATGTTTACATTTTTATTGATACAAAGTGAATCTGTGTCTTGAGTTATGTGTACGCCAACTCAGGGTGTGTGGCAGCCAGCTGGCTGTGTGTCTTGTGAGCTTGTTTGTGTCTGTGTGTCGCTCGTGCGTGTCGTCATCATCTGTCTAGCGTCCACCCATACCGCGTTGGTGTCCAGTCCGAGCCTGGCTGTTCTTCACCTTTCTACCTACCTACCTACTAGGAAGGTCCGTCCGAAATTTCTTTAGCCAGTGCGCCACAGTGCGCGCTCGCTAGTTCCGTGCCCAGTGTGTGTGTGTGTGCTCGCGGGTGGAGGTGGAGGCTGGAGGCGTGGTGGGTCTTTGAGTTTATTTCATGATGGACTACGAGGAGTGGGGGTCAACCGGGAGGCAGGGGGTCAACCAGGCGGCGGAGGACCGTGGGCCATCGCGGGGACTGCTGCGTACGGAGGGCGCGGCAGATTGATCCGGATGGTCTCACCCGGTGGGAGGCACCGAGGCGTCTTGGACGCTCAGCTCTACCTTAGCTCCTGAGGGGCGCGTGGTTCTAACCACGTAGTAGGACTACAGCCCACCACAGACACCCTCCCCCACTCCTCACGTGTGTTCACACCCTCACCCTCTCCTCTCTCCTCTCTCTCTCTCTCTCTCTCCTCTCTCTCCTCTTGTCTGTGCTGTCTGCCTGACTCAGGCACTCAATCTGCCGATGCGTGATTGTGTGTGGGCTGCTCCGAGGGGGCCCTCTGTGCGATCCGACGGGTAGGGGGGCTGTGCCCGGGCGGTGTCCGGTGTGGAGTCCCCTTCTGATCCCGCCTGGGATGTTGGGTGTGAGGTTGTGGCGGCTTCGATCCCAAGGGGGGGAGCTGATCCCACTCAATAACCAACTCTCAGGGGCAGTAGGTGGGCGAGCTTCAGGCACGCTCATCTCGATCGTCAAGACGTCGCTACGCGCGGTCTTCCGCGGGGGGAGCTGCGTCGACGGGTGCGGGACCGCGGCGCAGCCAGTGCCGCGGCGAGGCCTCCGGCTGTTTGCGGCGGGCGGCTTGCTGCTCGCGGCGATGGCGAAAAACTCGTCTCGCCACACGCCAAGGGCTTATGCTCTGGCGAGACGTGAGGCGCATGCGCCCAGGAGGGGAGGGGGCATGTGTAACGACACTGCTAGAGATGCCTTTCGGGGCCCAGAGATAAAACTTCTGTGATGCCATGCGTGACCTAGTAGTGTCCCCAGCTATGGGCGCGTCCACGTTGGAGCCAGGTGTGGTGTGGGCGCGAGAATAGCTCCGCCGTTCATGGAGGCAACCGATGCGAGTCGACTGGTGTGTGTCGTCGTGGTTTCGTATCAAGAATACTCACTCACACACCGTGCCCAGTGATGTGCGAGCGGTTGTAAAATTCTTTTAAAGCAACATGAAGTTGAAGAAAGAAGAGTGGTTTGGCCTGCACAAGCTTTTCAAACAAAAAGGAAAACAGAGGGTCCCCAGCACTTTGCGTTTCCGGAAATTTCCAGGTGGAGGGAAAACAGACAGAGGGTGTTTGGTGCTCCATTCTGGAAACTCGCAAGTTTCCCTGAGTCTGAGAGCTGGTCTGGGGCAAAATCTGACGCAAAATTGAGGAAATCGGCACGACACCCAGGCGGTCGCAGGGTATTTTCCATCCAGGTCCTATACCCGGGGTTTTCCAGGTATACCCGCAAAATACCCGGTGTTTTGCCGATTTGGCTGATTTTGGGCCCAAACCAGCCTCAGACTCGGCTCAGAGCCCGGAAAATTTGATGGTTTCCCCGGGAAAATAGAGAGGAAAAGAGAGGGTGCTGTAGAGAAAAAGGAAAGGAAAAGAGACGGGGTGCGAGAGGAAAAGCTTGTTCAGCCTAAAGAGTGGTCCTTGCGCGAGGAGAGCTGTATAAACTCGATCGAGGGCCAAAATACGCCGCGAGGAGGGCGGAGGTTATTTCAGCCGCTGGTTTTTCTTTCTTTATTGACCTTGCGCTCGTGGTTTTCTCTTTCGGCGATTTTCGGCCGGTCTTGGCTCGCGATGCGCAGAGCGCCCTCCAGCTGTCTCTGCACCGCCGCCGCCGCCGCCGCCGCCGCGTCCAGCGCTTCCTTCCGCGCCGCCGCGCCGCTCCGCAAGCTCGTCGTGAGCGGGCGGGAGGTTCGGGTGCGCCAGCATTTTATGGACGTGCCCGTGCCGCAGGCTCGCCGGCGTGCGGCGGACCTGACCGGGCTCAAGGTTTGGCCCTGCTCCCTCCGGCTGCTACATCACTACGAGTCGGACGTGCTGCCGCGGCTGCTGCAGCGGCGCCGCGCCTCCGGCGACGACGCGCCGCTGCGCGTCCTCGAGCTGGGCTCAGGCGTCGGCGCGCTGGGGCTCGGGATCGCGGCGGTCGGCGGCGCCCGCGTGGTCCTCACCGACCCGGGCGTCGCCGTCAACCTCGCGGCCGACTACTCCTCCAACACCCTCGAGTGGCTCGCCGCCAACGTGGCCGATAACGAGGCGGCGCTGCGGGAGCGGGCGCCGGCGGTGCGGCGGCTGGTGTGGGGCGACGAGGCGCACACCGCGGCGCTGCTCGCCGAGTTCGCCTCCCCCTTTGACCTCGTCGTCGGCACTCAACGCCGCTCTGCGGACGGCTGGACGAGTGGCAGCGGCGCCCTCGCACCGTGACGTGACTGTGCGACAGGTGCCGAGCTGCTGTACGACCCGGACCAGTACCCGGCGCTGCTGCGGGCGCTCGACGCCTTTGTGGCCGGCGGGACGCTGGCCCTGCTCGGCTTCACGCACCGGCACGAGGGCGAGCCCGCCGCCCCTCTGAGGGCGCGCTGCGGGCCGATCGGGCGCCCTTCACGCCCATCGGTGAGCACAGGCGAGCGGCGCTTCTTCGAGGGCGCGGCGGCGGCTGGCTTCCGCACCGCGACGCAGTGGCGGGAGGGGGAGGGGGCGGTGCCGCGCTGGGCCACCGTCGAGATTGAGCGGGCCGCCGGCGGGGCGGCCTGGTCGCGGCTGCCGCGAGGCGGAGAGGAAGAGGAAGGGACTATGACTTAGTAAAAGAGAGTATGTGAGGAGGAGCCGCCACCACTGCCGACAAAAATCCCTTGTGCCTTGAGTATGAGATGACGATTGTGGGGACGAGAAAAAGAAAGAAAGAAGCCGCCAGACAAGCCAAGGGAGGGATGGGAGGACGGCACGCCGCCACCACACAGGGATTTTAAGGAGAGGGGTGTGGTGCCCTTGCCGTCGGACCCTTATTTTCGTGCGCATCAGCCCTTCCGGGCGATCCTGGGCGACCCACCAACGACCAAAGCAGAAATGCGGGCCGACAGCCTGACGCTCGCCGATCGCGTCGCCGGCGCCCTGTGGGGCATGTTCATCGCCGACGCGCTCGCGATGCCGGTGCACTGGTTCTACGGAGGTGTCGCGCAGATCCGTCGGGTATTCGGTCAGCCCATTGCCGGCTACATCGCGCCGCTCTCGCAAAAGGGCTCGTTCCCCGAGTCGATAATGGCGCTCTCTTCGACTGGAGGCGCCGGCCGCGGCGGCAGCGACAGCGACATCGTCGGCACCGTCATCAACCATGGCAAGAAGGGTTTTTGGGCGCGAGGAGGAGGGTATCACTATCACTGCAGTCTCGAGCGGGGAGAGACGACTCTCGAGGGCGAGATGGCGCGGCTGGCGATGCGCTCGCTGACCTCCGGCGGCGAGGGCGGCTTTGATCTCGACCGCATGCAGCGCGAGTACGCCGACTTCATGACGACGCCGGGAAGCCACCGCGACGCCTACGCGAGCTCGTACCACCGCATGTTCTTCCAGAACCGAGCGGCGGGCAGGCCTCTGCGCGAGTGCCCCTCAAACGACGGGCACAATGTGGACGCGATCGACGGCCTCGTCATCCCTGCCGTCGTGCTGCTGGGCGGCGCAGCGCGGCCCGAGGGCGAGGCTCTGCTCGAAGCGCAGCAGAGCGTGCGGGTGACGCGCTCGTCGCCGCGCGTCGAAGGGTACGTCGCGGAGCTCTCGGCGGTGCTGCGCGGCGTGCTGCGCGGCGAGCAAACGGCGGCGGAGGCGGCGCAGGCGGCGGCGGTGCGGCGGACGGGCCGGCGGATCGAGGCGGGTTGCGCCGTCCACGCCGGCGATGGCGCGCGCGCGCGTGCGCCATGACGCGTCCGCGACAACATGACCCTCAGGCGGACCCACGCCGCCCCGACCCGGTGGTGGCGTGCTACATCGACGACAACTTTGCGTCGTTGCTCGGTTTGCGCCTGGCCTCGAGTGCTAGTCCGTCTCGGGCGACAAGCCGGTGACACACCTTGTCGATCTGCCTGCAGGCTTGGCGGCAAAGTACACGTCCTTCTCCGAGGCGCTCCTCGCCAATGCGAACGCGGGCGGAGAGAACGTGCATCGCGGGCTAGTCCTCGGCGCTCTGATGGGCGCGCAGGTCCGGGGCGGGAGGACGAGAAGGAAAGAGAGGGAGACGGCCTGCAGCCACGCCCAAACTCGCACGAAACTCGCACGAAACTCGCAGGTACCTCGGGGCGGTTCTCCCTCCCGACGGACCTCATCCCGACTCCGGCGCCTCCCTAGGTTGGCGCCTCGGGCATCCCTGCCGAGCTAAAGGCGGGCCTCTACCACCACGACGCCATCGCGGCGGAGATCGACGCCTTTATCGCCGCGCGCGTCTCCGGAGGCTCATGCACATGACACATGGAAGCGTGGGCATGCAGGACATATCGCCGCCGGAGAATGCGCCTCAGAGCTCAGTACTGCAGCATGGTAGAGCATGCTAGGAATGTTCGGCACGGAATTGGAGCCGCGTTGGCGCTCCAGCAACCAGCCCGGACACCCCTCAGCGGACAGAGCGCACAGCGGCGCGCGACGCTGTGGGCTGTGGCTTCCCGGACTCTCGACGCTATAAACGTGTATAAAAAAAGCTGCGCCGCGCGGGTTAAAAAAATCCTTGTATGTTGTAGCCGTAATATTCCCCTTGGAGCGATACGCTAGTCGCCTAATTGGTGGCCCTCTCGCGGCGCGGCCCTCCTTTGCTGAAGATCGTGGCCTCGCCCGTTGCCCAGCTCGCCCGCGGCCTGGCTCGCCTCGAGGCTCGGCGGCCGGTGCGGCTCGTCGTCCTCGTCGCCGAGACTGGACAGGAACGCGTCAAGCAGGTCGTCGAGGAACTCGTCCTCCCCCACCACCTAGCAGACCCAAGCGAGTGGCCGCCGGGATCTCGCCCTGGCTCCCCTCCCCAACCAAGATCGTCTGCCTGCGCCCTAACCCAGCTCCCGTGCCCCACCCCGGTCTACGCACCTCAAACTCGGGCGGCGCGTCAAACAGCTCGCCGCCGCCCGCCGCCAGCCCGCCCCCCTTCGCGCCAAAGGCAAACTGCTCCGCGTGCGGGTGCGCGCAGTCGTCCGAGAAGGAGGGGAGGTGCGCCTGGCCAGGCGCAGAGATGTGCGGGCCGTCGGATGCAGCAGGGGGAGGAGGGCCCCGTGGCCCGAATCTCTCGCCCTATGGCCGGCCTTGTGCGTGTGGACCACGGGGAACCCCTCACGACCTCGGCGTAACACACGGCGGAATCTCCGCCCAAGCTCGGCCCGATCTCGGCCCGATCTCGCGCCTCCACGTAGAAGCCGACGGGCAGCGGGACGGAGAGGCGGGTCGGGAAAGCGCATGGCGGGCACATGCCGAGCAGGTAGTCGCACACGCCTGAGCGACCGATCCGGTGGCCGGGCTCGACCCACGGGCTGCCCGGGGGATGCCGAGCGTGCAGGCTCGCGGCACACCAGAGATGTGCCGGTTGATGGGAGCGAGCAGCCGCATGACGACGCAGAACTGGTCGAGGGAGAGCGGCAGACCCCAAGAGCACGTGACGCGCGCCGACGCCGGGCGGAGGAAGAGGCCGAGCACCTTGCCATGTGATTTATCATCATATCCATATGTCATAATGACAAAGAACATCGGAGGAAGAGGCCGAGCACCTTGCCGCCCTGCGCGAACCGCTGCAGCAGCGCCAAATCGCCGGCGCTCGACGGCTTGTCGTGCTGCTCGCTGTCGGCCGCCGCAGCCTCGCTCGCCAGCAGCGCCTCTGTGTGCGCGCGCCGGTCGGGCGGGGTGGCGATGACTCCCTCGCGCTCGCGCAGCCGCACGTTGAGCATGCAGCGGCACTGGTAGCGCGCCGACGAGGCGGCAGCGGAGGGCGCGCCGGCGTCGGTGCTCGGATGGCCCCACAGGTCGCACTCGGCCATCAGCGGCACCAGCTCAGACACAAACCGAACGCCCGAGCCGCCGACGCCGCCGCCGCCGCCGCCGTCGCGCCCTCCGCCACCGCCGCCGCCGCCGCCCCTGCCCCTCGCCGCCGCTGCGGGCGACAGCTCGCCCTCCACGCGCAGGTCGGCGGGGTGGCGCGTGAGGGCGCACTCCGCCTGGCGCGGGCGCGTCATGGGGCGCGTCACGGGCGCGTCATGGGGCGCGTCGTGGGCGAGTCATGCATGCAGCACGTGCATAGACATGTACATGTAGGGGCGTGTGGGCGCGTGATGGGCGTGTCAGGTGTTGGGGGCGTGTCGTGGCGGGGGCTGTGAGGGCGGCACTCCGCGGCTAATGGACGAGCTCGTTTCTTCCTTAGGCGCGCCTGGTCGGAGGTCTCGCGCTGCAGTCCGGTCTCGAAGAGGCGAGAGGTCTGCTGGCGGGTCAGCTGCAGGTCCGGCTTGAGAAACGCCCACGTGCGGAGGTACTCTGCCGTCCGGCGGCGCTGCTGGTCCACCATCAGGATCTCCGGCTCGCCTTTGTCATTTGCACTCCTCCTCAGATTCTGATCTCAAGGTCACCCACCGTCAAGGATCTCCGGCTCGCCGTAGCCCGCGTCGAGACATATCTCCCCATATCTCCCCATATCTCCCCATATCTCCCCATATCTCGCCGTAGCCCGCGTCGAAGCGGATGATGAGCGAGAGGAGGCCGCGGTGCCAGGTCAGCGCGTCGTAGTCGAGTCCGGCGAGGGTCGAGTCGACCCTCACCCGGACGCCCCTCTTGCGGATCCGGTACCTACGGTGCGCAGCGCACGTGCTGCGAAGACAGCAAGCACCCTTGCTTGGAGCAGCTCGGCTTGTCAGACACGTGTCGGAGGGGAGGAAGCGGCGCAGCAGCGTCGCGACGCCGAGCATGTACGACCCGATCCTCCACGCGAGCACCTGCGCGGGGAAGGTTTCGAGGAGGAGGTCCGCAGAAGGTGCTGCGACAAGGCCCGGCCCCTCCTCCACGCGAGGCGCCGCGGAGAAGTCTGGCATCGAGCGCAGCGTCCTGAGCACCGTCTCCCTCCGCCCCGCCCACCGCTTCTGCTCGTCGAGCTGCACGGCGAGGTGGATCTCGCGCAGCACCTGCGCGCGGGCACGGATTCGGCGCCAGGCTCGTCTGGCGCGCGGGAGACCGCCACCCGGGCTGGCGTCTCTCTGCGGCCGGCGCCTGCTGCGCGGCGACCGCCTTGGCCTTCACGTCGGCCGCCGCGTCCGCACCAACGCAAGCCTGCACGCACGCCATCGCCTCCTCCATGGGCGTCCAGTTGCCCGCGGAGCGAGTGTTGACGTCGAAGCCCGCGGCGAGGACGCAGCGCACGGCGGCGGTGTCGACCCGCCGGATCGCGAGGTGCAGCAACGAATCGCCGTGCCGGTCGAGCAGGTGCAGCTCCGTTGGCCGCTGCAGCAGAGCGAGGCGCAGCGCGTCGAGCTCGCCGGCGTAGACGAGGGAGAAGAGGTCAACTGGATCCGCCAGCGCTGCGGGCATTGCACTCCTGGCGCGCGCGTTTTTCTTTTTGCCATCTCGACCGACTGCCCCAGCCACTCCGCTGTGAACACCGAGGGGCCTCGGTCTTCAGAGCCCCCTCTGCTCGGTACGAACTCTGTTCACACCGAGTAGCCTGGAGTGGCTGCGCTATAGCAGACAGGAGACAAGGCCGCCGCGCTCTTCGCGCTCTTGGCGCTCGCACATTCGACTGTGGAGGGTCAATCCGGTCTCGCTCGCTGTCACCACGCACCTCTGCCCCTCCCATGGAGCTCGACACGTTTCTCTACTACTGGGACGAGAGCGACGGGCCGCAGTGGCAGGGCTGGTGGATCACGCCGGACCGCGTAGGCAACGACCGCTTCTTTGCCTTCTCTCGCGGCGCAGCCGCGTCGCCCGACGAGTGTCGGTCCTGGCGCGGCGGCGACCGGTCGATTGATATGTGCGTGGCGAGCTTGGGCGGTGGCGCCATGGGCGTTCGGGCGAGCGGGCTCGGATTCGAGGGCGTGTACGAGCGGGAGAGCGAGGAGCGAGGGCATGGCAGGCCAGCGTTCCGGCGGACGCGCGACCTGACAGCGGCGGAGGCTGCGCGCATCGACGCGGCGAGTGCGGCGGCGCCCTCCACTGTCGTCTACAGCCAGCAGATGACCCTCGCTGACCTTCCTTCATCCTCCGAGGAGGCGCCTGCCGCCATCGCAGTGGGAGTGCCGCTCGAGCTCCCCGCCGCGGTGACGCCGGCGGCGGCGCTCGAGTGGGTGCGAGGCGGCGGGGAGGAGGGCGGGCAGCACGCCGGCGCGGCAGGCAGCCCGCCGGAGGAGGCGGCGGCGGAGCCGATGCTGCGGCTGTCGCTGCGAGTAGAGAGCGCGGCGGAGCTGGACCAGGTGGTGCGCAAGGAGGCGGCGGAGCGGCTCTCGCTGCCGGAGCTGAGCGACGAGGAGTCCCCGCTGCCGGTGGGGTGGGTGCTGGCCGAGAGGAGCGCCGCGCCGGTCAGCGGCACCGTGCGGCGCTTCTTGCTCCTCGCGGCGCACCAGCTGGAGGAGGAGCTGCCCGAGTCGTACCGCTCGCTGCCGCAGGTGCGCGAGCTTGCCGCGAGCCTGCGCCGGCTGGTTGTCGAGCGGGGCTTCACCCTCTGCGTGTGGGCCGACGGCTGAGGTGTGCAAGTTGTGTGAGGGGCTGCGCGTGCCCAAATTTACCTCTGGTGTACCCTACCCCCAGAGGAAGTGCAACCACCGACGGTCCGCGAGGGCTGGATTCCGGCTCCTACCCAGATAGGGGGTCTGTTCCCCACACGGTTAGACCCTATGCAATAGGTAGGTAGGTCCGGTTTTGACCGCCCCAGAGGGCCCCGCAATAGGCTATGAATAGGTAGGTACGGGCTACGCCTACGGCTCTAGCTGGTAGGTGGTGGTGTGGGGGGGGGGGGGGGGGGCCCTTTGGGGGGGGGGGGGGGGGCCCCTTCCCTCCCGCGGGAAAACCAAAAGGGGCGTTTAACCCCCCAAAAAGGGCCCCCCCCAAAGCTTGGCCCCCCAGGGGGCCATTCTCTTTGGGGGGTTCCCAAGGGGGGCGCACAACCCCCCGGAAAAAACCGGCCCCCGGGGGGCCCTGGGAGCCTTTTCCCAGGGGAGGGCCCAACGGGGATTTTTTGTTTTCTTGGGGGGCCCCCCAAAAAGTAGGTAGGGGGGGCACCGAACCCGGGGGTTGGCCCCCCCAAAAAGGGTAGGCCGGTTGGGCAAAAAAATTTGACGGACGGAAAAAACCCCCCCTTTTATGCCTGACCCTGGGGATGCCTCTCTGGGGGGGAACTGGGGCGGCCACCTCCGGGGTTGCAAATTCCACGGGGGGTCCCCTTCCGGGGAAAAATCCAAAGCCCGGGGTTGTCCCTT